AGAAAGAAACCTTTGAATATTATTGTTTTCCTTTTAGACATACATGTTCTGCCATTAGCATATTTTTCCAACTAATTATATGTTTAAATGTAGTTTTGTAGGACTCCTGTATCGATCTGTGCAACATTGCATTATAAGATCAATGAGAACGAGTTTTGTTGTGAAATTTATGCCTTTTTACAATTAATCAAATTGTATAATTTGCAAGGTTATCATTTTACTTACATCTTTGGAAATGGAATTTGATGTACACTGTAGGATGTTGGGTCTACATGTTTTTTTTCATGTGCAAACTATCTATGCTTTTCTCCTTTCAGATTTAAACCTCCATGTGGAGATGTTTCTAATATAGCTAAAACAAAAGTAGAATAATCAGCAAAAACAATACTTTAGAAGTTGAGTTACGGTATAAATCATATTCATACAGTTGTGGATTTTGGAAAGTCAAGATCACAAAATGTAATACCCATGCCCCTTTTCCTCTCTCGAGAATGAATAACACTTTGGGCTCAGGTGACTCTTCCCAACTCCCAGCTGAAATCACTTCCATTGAGATGAAGATGAAAATAACCCATCCCATGCACTGGTCCATCTGGTAGAGTAGTTTGATGGCCAAGCTAGCAACAACCTCCACCTGCTGACATTCACACTTGCTAGAAAGCATCCCCCGTCCCATTCACACTACAAACATTCATTGTATACATTTAGCTTTAAGACACAAACCAAATACAGTCAAACCTGTCTATTAAGGCAACCAAAGGAAAACAGAGAAGACGGCCACTGTAGACAGGCGACCTTTCTTGACAGGTTCTACAACAAACATTCCTCTCTCTCTCTCGTGGGAGACAAAACGAATGGTCAGTATAAGCAGGTGACCTTTATAGAGAGGTGACCACTAACACAGGATTGACTGTAGCTAATATGTAAATACCGTATTTGCTGGCGTAAAGGCCGCAGTATTTTTGGTAGAGAAAATATCAAAAAGTTTGTGTGCGGCCTATGCGGCGAAAGAGTAAAAAAAAATTTAAAAAGTAAGTCAAAACCAACACGAATTTGCACATATGGGACTAGATCTACGAACAGTACAATAACTATACATTTCCACACATCTTACCGACAATTTTATCTTGCATTGTTGACATGAAGACGAAAATGAACTTCCAAAAACAACATCCGCCGATAGATCTTGATCTAAGTTCGTGCCAATGCATTGCAAAAGTAAAAGAAGGGCGCGTTTAACGGAGCTGCCGCGAAGCATCTCGCACGCGAAGTCGCTATTTTGAATCCATTTCAATACACAAGAGAGAGGCGCAATGTATACATGTACATCACAGAAAACTCCATATGCTAGCATCAGTGCGGCATGGCCGAGCAGTCTAAGGCGCTGATTATAGTCACATCAACATTTGAACGCAAGAGATCGAATCCAGACTTCAACAAAAAGTTTTTTTTTTTTTTTTTCCGAGCGGTCTTATGCGGTGATTTTAGTCACATCAACATTTGTACGCAAGAGATCAACAAATCCTGACTTTGACACTTTTTTTTTTTTTTTTTTTTTAAATGTCAAAATCGGGGGTGCGGCCTATACGGCGCTGCGGCCTTATCGCCGGCAAATACGGTATATGTAATTCAGATTGGTCTTTCATGAACCTTGTATAGAAACATGTTAATGCAGTAAAATGGATGTTCGAATATCATTTTGAATGGAAAGTGGATAAAGAATCACAAGTTTTGTATTCTGAACTACAAAACCCTGGAACTAGGGGAGGCTTGTCGTGAGAGCATGCACCTGTGATTGGGCAACTGTAGTGTCAAATGACCTATTCAAAGCTAGTTTATACAAACTTAAAGGTATAGACCAGTTCTGGTCATGCGATTGCATTGTGAAAGAAACGTTGTGGAATCGATCAGAAAAGGTTGATCATCTAGCATACATGTACATGTAAGTATTGAGGTGTACTGCAAGGTTCTGGAATCATCAAAGTGATAAGTAATTTGGCCCAGTCTTGGTCAAGTTACAAGCACTGTACACAGACACATGTATATGGGACTACGCGATATCTATCCAGGCCGGATCAATTAGTAGGCGGTTTCCCGGCAAAATCTGTATCATTACGTATTAATAGTCAAAACATATTCTTTCACATGATTTGTAATAAGAGCTACCATTTCATATTTTTGAGAGGGGGGCGTTTCCAAAACTGATCTTTACCTTTAATACCATGTTGTTATTGAGTTTGTACACCCCTTTCGCTAGTATAATATGGTTCTTTATACAATGTTTCAAATGCAAGTTTGGTATAAATGTCCTCTCGTCTGAACAGGCTGTTTGAGCCCACTACCAATCATCATCCTCTTCATCTCCTTCTATCCCGCTGATGGCTTCACCAGCTGTGGGTATCGCCCACTTCAATTGAACTTGAAGTTAGTCTTTCAGGTTACAAGGAAGTGATTTGTCCATGTGTCATTTCTCAAGCTTTCAGTGTTGCTCTACATTGGTGGTCACGTTGTACACTGTAAGTTCGCATGTGTACATCTTGACAGAAAACAAGCATCTCTAATTAATGACTAAAAACTGATTAAGAATATATACAAGACCATCCCTAGTGTAATATTGGAAATGACAAACTCCAATTAAACTTGAAGTTATAGTCTTTCAGGTTACAAGGAAGTGATCTGTCCATGTATCATTTATCAAGCTTTCAGTTTTGCACCATGGTGGTGGTAACACTGTACACTGTTAGCCTTCATGCTAATATCTAATACAGGCATCTCTACTAATTGATTAAAAATTGATAAAGAATATACTAGACCATCCCTAGTGTAATATTTGAGACAGCAAACTCGTAAGATGATCAACTTTCATACATATATATATATGCACTTCTTTCAAGGAGATTATGATTTCAATTTCAATTTATTTATGTTTCGAAACAAAACATTACAGATCAATTATAAACATTTACAACAATTTAGGAATATGTATTGAAAACCGAGGGATCCACTAAAAAAGCAATGCGTTTACAATTGTGGACCCCTCAAATGATACTTAGGAAGAATGAATAATTAAATGAACAAATTTGTAACTACAAAATAGGGGAAAAGAGGGGGATATCATCAGAGACGAGAACCAGATAATACGCACTGAGATGGCTAAACCTCCTGTCCTTGATTCATGGCAGTTAGACCAGTATGAATTGATTATTTGTGAAGACATTGTTCCTGCTTTCTCATAAAAAACAAAAATCGGGATAGAAAAAAAGAAAGAAACAAACTTTGGTGTGATTAGATGTATGAGGGGAAAAAATTGAGGTAAGGGAAGTACACTGTCGCAACCCATGTAGAACAGAAACTGGCATTTATTATTGTGCAAGAAATAAGGTGTGGCATCAGTGTACGACTGTACGTTGTACGTGAAATAATAGATGCAAATGCCAACTGTCCTTCAAGCATTTTCATTTTCACTCCATTCCAATTCTCTTCGTCATCGAGCCTAGATTAAATATTAATGATGCCAAGGCAATAGCTTGCAAATCTCCACTGTGGATTTATGTCGATGGATCTTCCTGCCTCTTCTCGATTCAGCCAGAGAGACTCAGATGAAAAATTAACGCCTCTTATGGCAATAAGAGTTAAGGTGTTAGAGGAGGGGTCAGTCACTCGTCGTCAGTGTGCTTTACGTTGTCAACAATGTTCACACTTAGTATGCATGATAGACGCACAGGCAGGGCTCAGTACACTAGCAGATGCGTGGTACCCGTTGGCTCAAAAAAAGTTAACTCTCGGCCCCCAAAATGTGGCAGCTAGGCGCCCCATGCATACTGGACCACTGAAAACAATATTTTGGATCCCTGATTTGGATTCCAACATATCTTTTTTTCTTCCAAGAGTACTGATTGGCATTTAAAAAAAATGTAGGCCTGCTGCTAACTGTCATCCTGCAATCATTATTTTGTTGTCTTTCAAAAAATCATTTATCTATCACCATCAATTAAATAAATGGGCAGGTCCAAGCTATTTGGATTGTGACGTACGGGACATTTAGAGACTTTAAACAAGAAATAACAACAGATGAAATTATTTATATGGCTATCTTTTGGAATGAGTCTGTGGCTATTATGGGCTAGTTCATTTGTGGAAAGTTTTAGTTCTGACCAATTTTTTGATTAATTTTTAATGTAATTAATGTGCTGCGTGACGGCAAAACAAGAAGATGCAAACAAGTTCCCAGTAGGTGTTTTGCAGGACTTCTGTTAATGGCATTTAGTGATGATCAATAGTAACAATGAAAATAACTAGTTGCCAATAAACATGAACATTCCACTTACACTTAATACCCCCACCCCTCCACCTCCCCTCTCTCTCTTTCACTTTCACTCTTTCTCCATCTCCTACTCTGTTTCCCCCTTTCCCTTTTTCTTCTTCCTGTTTTCTTAATAGTGTGTAATGTTTTATGTATTTTTGTTGTATAATTCTTTCTATTGGGTGCTCCATTTTATGAAGCCTTGGATTTTAGGGGCATCCTAACCATTTTTTTTTGGTGGTATTCTTATTTGTATTACATGCTTTGTATCTTTGATTTTAAATGGTTGAATAAAATGAACTGAACTGAACGTCTTTCTTTAATCCTAGAACAGGGAAGTTCTAAGACGGCCTACCGGTCAGGCCTATCTACATGTAAAGTACATCTACATTGTCCTTGTTTCCTGGTTTTACTAAGGGCAAGTTAATGAATAAATAGCAGAATTAATGACATTCTGAAACTGAATTATGAAGTTTAGGTTTTATCAAATTATATTGTAAAATGCATCATAAAACTGACAGCTTAGTTTAATTAGTACTCTTCAAATCACTAACATTTGACAATAAGATACTACATAAACAAGGGTTCTTCATCAATTTGCCAAACAGGATGTTTTCATTGAGGCGGAGTTCAATGCCGTATTGTGAAGTAGGAACTATGTTATAAATGTTTTGTTTTTGTTTTCTTCTCTTTCCAGACCCTCGACACAGACCGAAGTGGGTTAAATAAGATGAGAAAAAGCATCAAGGCAATATACAACACAGGGAACAGTAAGTATAGTTTGGATTCTTCTGTATATTAACTCTGTTGGAGTGTAAAAATAATATCTATGTCGTATGCAATTGGCGTACCTACGCATACGATTGCGTATAGGCGAAGGGTTGCGTACGTTTATGTAGGCCTGGCTTAAAGGGTACATAGATTTGCTTACGGTTGTATAAGGTTTCTTACTGTGTGCGCAAGTGCTGTGCAAAAACGCAATAGATGCTCGTAGGAGCCGCGAGTGTGGCCATTGGCCTTTATACGCTTTTACTGCTTCGTTGGACTGGCGTAGGGTAGCGTAGTATTGCGTAGGCATGGCGTACAGTACATTATAGGGCATCCTGCAAGACGTGATCTTTCCATTCGTGCTTGTGTAGCAGTACTCAAAAGCTGTCTTGGATACTTGTAGGTTTGTGGGAGAGGTTTACATTTACACCAAATCCAAACCTGTCTGGGACGGCCTGAGAAAGCTTTTGATTTTGGTGTAACAAACACAGGTCTAACTTTACAACAAAATGCACAGAAAAATAAGACCCACACCCCGAGTGTCAGTTTACCTATTGCCATGAGGCTGTGACAAGTGGGTAATTGATATTCATCATATCCGTGACTAGAATACCCCTTTTCACTCTACTGCCACAAGTATGTATTTGGAGTGTGATTTTGATACCCAAATTGTTCACATGACTTGCATACACTTGCATTAAGGCCTACACGTATCACATTGTGATATTGGATATAGTTAGGCAGGCAAAATGAGTATTTTTATAGTAAAAGAGTCCTGTTTTAAGTCTGTCTATTAGATTTTTAAAGGGGAAATCAGTTCACCTTGATATATATATATATATATATATATATATATATATATATATATATATATATATTTTAAACAGAATACAGGAGAGAAACAGTTTTACTTACAATAAAGAATTGAATAAAGTTAGTTTAATATGTTGTAATCCCTCAACAACTCCATCTTTGAATTCCCTTGTGAGCAGCTCTTTGTTTATTTTGCATTTTTTCAAGTATTATCAAAATAATCCCTCTTCTTGGTTGTTGATAAGAGAATAGATGTATTATTTTTCTCTAAAGTTAAAATTCATGACGTTTTAAGTACAAAGCAGTTGATGAAAATCTGCTCTGTAAATATGTTACAGTGATTTCTGCATTTTTCAGAAAATTTGAGATTATTCTGACATTAAAAAAAGGGAAAAGAATTTAGATGATTATCTTTAACATTGTACCTTCTCATTGGGAATTTGTTGGTATCAACTGAAATTGATTTTGAATATTTTAATTTGTGTAAGTATTTGCAAGTATATGTTCATGCACTGTAGGTTTTTATGATTTTATATGCACTATTAATTTCCTAATCTTGCAAATACTGCAATGAACTGCTGGTTGATGTCTGCTTAGTTGCCCTGACAACTTCTATTATGGAGGAAGAAACATGTCTACAAGTTTTGTGTGTAGTTTATGCAATGAATATTTGATTTCCCCTGCTAGATAATACTATCAAGTGGGGAAAGTAAGATATTGCTATTAAATGAAGATGAGCTTGTAATTGATCTCCAAAGATAGAATGTTAGTACAAACAGAGTAATGATGTAATGTACACTGTAGTGTTATTATAGGCCTACATCTACTACTAAACATTTTTTCTCCATTTCTTAACATGTGCATAATGAAATTATTTAAAACTCAGGAATTGTTAAGAATTTCTATGTGATATTTGCCCCCCCCCCCAATAAAAAGAAAAGAAAAACGCAGGCTTTAATACATGCCTAACTTTGAACTTTGTGTACTACTACTACTACTACTACCACTACCACTACCACTACCACTACCACTACCACTACCACTACCACTACCACTACCACTACCACTAAGTACTACTACTGCTGCTGCTGCTGATGCTGCTGCTGCTGCTGCTGCTACTGCTAATGTTACTACTACTACTAGTTCTACTACTACTACTACTACTACTACTACTACTACTTCTACTACTTCTACTTCTACTACTTCTACTTCTACTGCTACTACTACTAGCCAAGGCCACTGGCCAACATAGATATAGATATAAATCCTGTTTTCAACTAATGATCTACATGTAGCCTATAATGAATATGAGATATCTGTACCCAGGGAATATACAGTATCTCGACATGGAGCCTCTTTTCACACGTGACAATTTTCTGGTATTGATTTTTTCCCTTGAATTTGCATTGGCGGTGAAGCATGCAAAGGATTAGGGCCCCTTTGAAATCAAAACAAAAGAGCGCTATCCCTTGCTAGATAGCTGGGAAGATGTGGGATTATTCATTACTGGTGCGTGCATGCATGTTCTGCCGAAAGTTTAGAGAAGCAGGCCAATATCTATATTGATTTTGAATTCATTATGTGTGTTTTTTTAATTCTTTCAAATGCTGAATAAAAATAAAAATACAAAACATCTGTTATTATTAATTATTATTATTATTATCATTACTTACATTATGTTTATTATAGCTGTTATTATTATTGTTCTGACTATTATTATTATTATTATTCATTTTTAAAATTATCATTATTATTAATATTATTATTGTTATGATTATACTATGATTACATATATCTTTTGTATTAAAAACAAAGTTTGGTATTTCACAAAGGTGCATTCATATTTTTTAGCCCTATTTGGAATTGAAAATGAATAGAATGATAAAAATTAAACATACATGTACACATGTACTTGTAGCTCTTGAAAGCTCTAAGATTGTTTTGGAAAACTTGTTAAATAAGTGCTGTGAAGAAAAATGACAGCAAGCACAAATGTAATATGGTGACGAATGTATCATGCTGCAAGAGAAGTAAGTTTTAAGCAATCCACAAAAGTTCTTTTGAACCATATATGCAAGTAGATTTTACAGTTTAGCTTGTAAGATGTGAACACTGTAGGGTACTTTACATGTATACAGCTTGTAAATAGTACTAATTCTAAATTTATTACAGAATAAAACTTTCCTTAGTTTTCTTTGTGACAGTACTCCTGATATATGAGGACTGAATTTGTATTTCTTGTGCACACATTACACATGCATACTGTACATTAAAGTACATAAAAGTGTTTTTTCTTTAATATTTAAATAATTTAAACATGATGATTGATAGCTTTGTTAGTTTTTAAAACCATCAAATCATTTGAATTCATGGCCTACATGTAGCCACAGACATATTCACATGAATTATTCCAATACTAAACTTTAGCATTAGAATTGCATGATTTTGACCTGCACTGTTTTACAAACTCGTGTTGTGGTGCACTCAGCCTCAAAATCAATCGCGGTTTCTCATGAAAGTCAGATGAGGCTATTTCTGTACAAAAAATATTGATGTAACTTTTCCATAGAGTACTCTCATGTAAGTCAATATGTGGTCCTGATGTACTTCTTTAGATGAATTGCTTAAACCATCAATAATAGATATGAAATAATTCATGACCCAAGGCGATCTATGACATGGAAATGGCTGCAGATTTATCTTTTTTTTCAGCAAACAAATTTTTAAATTTGCAAAAATTACTTTTTTCACAAAATATAAACAGTGTGGAGTAATTAAAAAAAAAAAAGAATAAATGTTATACAGAATAACAGATGTTATTTCTATTAAAAAACATGAAAAGTTATTTAGAAATTTGGTTTGATTCAATAAATGCATTTCTTTGACATTTACAATCACATCCAGACATTATGTATGCATACAACATGATGATATCTTTTAAAGTCTTTTAATGTTTTTAAAAATTCAGTTAGTCCGATGATGACACATAATAGAAATCTGACTACTTAGTAAGTACTTACCATTTCTGCATTATGTTTTATTTTTTATTTTTTATGTTACCACTAGGTCAGTGGAGGTACATTGTTATCATATATCTTCCTAAAATAGCAATCTGTAAAATCCCAAAATATTGAATACTGGGGTAGTATTTTCATGGTTCATGTAAATTACGTCATCTCTTGTAATGGGCGGCAAATTACTTTATTTCAAAATGTACAAAGTGTGACCTCTTCATGTTTTGAAGATCTGTGGATATGTTCGGGGTCATTTGGGACGTGTGCTAAGCGTGACCTGGTCTATTGTCTTTAGGTGATATTTACAACTGTAGGAGAGGAAATCGTTGGCTCAAACTCCAAGCAAAATTCATTTGAACAGAGTAGACCTACTGTGTTATAAATGCAATGTACATTGGGCAACTCCCCAGCCACATATAATCCCTGTGTGTAATCCACTGTCATATCTCCTTATTCATGGACAGGAAATGGCAATTAATTAGCACTGCAACATTTTCATGGAGGCATATTTATTGATCATGACACTGCCAAACCCACTAAGTATAATAAGTACATTGTATGTAATGCACAGATTTGTAATGGTCCATGCGATACATTGTGTATGTATATTATTATGTCACAGCATTGTGTAAAGACATATGATGATGGCCTCTGTATGTTCAATACATGTATCATACAGAGTATAGAATCATGTTTGAAGACTTCTTGCCATGCATTTAAATTAAAAATATATAAATTGTGAAATAGGGGTTAAGAACTGAAGAATATGATGTAGGCTGTACAATACTTAATATTGGACGGCTTTGAGTGTGATACAAGAATATATTGCTCGAGCTATGACAATATTTATATAGTATCATACAAAAAAAAAGCCATCAAATATTATTAGTATTACCTACATGAATATCATTATCAGGCTGACTAGCTAGCAAAATACAAAAATTTGACTTACCTCAGTAAATGTTCCAATCAATTTGCACATTGGGTAGAGTGACCGAGTACCAGCAAAAGTGTTGTTGGTTTTCAATAATCAAGCAATATTGTATCGACAGTTGAATTTCCTGGATGACAGAGCAATACGAAAATAATATTGATCTGTCATCCGGGTACTGCGCTAAATATATGAAATACACTGATTTATTGTACCACTTGGAAGCCTTAAAGGTAAAGACCAGTTATGGTCATGTGATTGCATTGTGAAAGAAACGTTGTGGAATCGATCAGAAAAGGTTGATCATCTAGCATCTAGCATCTGCAAGGTTCTGGAATCATCAAAATGATAAGAAATTTGGCCCATTCTTCATAAAGTTACAAGCACTATACACTGAAAGATGTATGTGGGACTACCCTATATCTCTCACAGACCATGAGAGAAACAAATTTACCAAATATATGAATTAGTAGGCGGTTTCCCGGCAAATTTTTTATCATCATGTATTATTCAAAACATATTCTTTCACATGATTGATAATGAGAGCTTCCATTTCATTTTTTGAAATTGGGGCGTTTCCAATACTGGTCTTTACCTTTAATATAGATAATAAATAACTCCAAAGCCCGTAACTGCCTAAAGATGTAGTGTTACTAGGGCCAGTACTTATTGTTTGCCTAAATGTCCGTAATTTGCATATAATAATGTAAATGTTACAGCTATGATTATTCTAGCAAATCAGTATTATCTTGTACTTCATGCAGTGAACAATTGTATGATGGGCTGATACTGGTAGTAATATTTTCAATATCACTGACATGGTAACATATTTTAATATAAATCAACAGTTGCTATGGTTCTAAGGATTTCTTCCTCCCACACACACAAGTATTTACGGTTCTTAAAAATAATAATGTGTACTCCTTTATTGAGAATTTATTTAATAATGGGTGCGTTTATCATCTCTCAAAATCATTATTCTGGCTCTATGTCACATTCAAAACACACTTCTTTCGGCGTTTCAATATACCCTATCTAAAGACGTTTGAAAAAGGGTTTGCGTTTATCACCTTGAAAATTGCCTGAAAGACGTTTGAAAACGCTGATTCTAGGCAAAAAAAAATGTACTATAAACACACCCAATGTACATGCAGGCCCTGTAGATGGTACTACCATAATCTATTCTGTCAAGGGTATATCCCTCAATCAAATCTCTGCATCATCAGTTTGCTAATGACCTGTAAACAAATTGGGTTTTCAATCAGCCTTAATCATGTAATATCGTTTGAAAGATTTTTAGATAAGCTAGATATCCATCATCCGCTGAAAGCCAGGAGGGGTCGACTGTGTGTACTAACACCCTCCTGTCTTTCATACGGCAGAATACATACTCAGTTTACACTTAATACAGCCAGAAGGTTTTTAACTCATATGCTGTAGCTCAGAGTTGATGCCCTTCTAGCTGTGTACAGAATATTCTAATATTGTATCGACAGTGTAGGATTGAAATACTGTACATACATGTACATGTATACTCCCAAGTCCCATCTCACAAAATGAAACAACATTATTGAACATGCAGTGTATGTTTAAATGCTAGAAACCCAAAGCAAGCAAAATCAAGACCAAGATACATGTACATCCCGGCCCCCCCCCCACTCCGGGGTCAGAGGGACTGCATTCGTGTTCCCAAAATCTCTGGTAAAGGGGTAACAAAGTCCTGCCTGTAATACACAAAAATCCCGCCCATATTGACTTTACACACCGGAGATAGGGGGTGCTTTCAAAGGGAGGGAACATGCATACACGTACCCTTTATAACAGTGAGTGGGGGAAGGGGGGGGGGGATGTACATGTAACGGTCAAATGTCTGGCATGAGGGTGCAGCTCTCCCAAGACCAAATCTTATGAATGCTCAGAAAATATCTTAGGTTTTGAAAGGGGAAAGTTGACAGGCACACATAAGTACAGTATGAAGGGCATACAGTGGCACGTTGAAGTAGGTCCATGGTTGACGGAAGTGCAAGTAAATTTTATGTGCTGGTACCTGTAACTGATCCGACTGTGTCCCTGGCAACATTAAGAATCCAAGATTTGTTTACATGAACATGTTGTTCATTCATGTCAAACATACCTACTAAAATAAAGAACTGCAATGCTCTTCATAACCTGCCGCTAGACTTTCCAAGCCGTTTCATACAGCGTGTCCACACACAAAACAATTTATCCCGAAACTCTATAACGAAACGTCGTATAAAGAATCATCGTATAAATTTGAGAGTGTCTACACACTAGAAAAGTTGTATAAATAATCATCGTATAAATTCCAGGATGTCCACACACAAAAGAAAGTAATCCTGAAACTCTAGAGCGAAATGTCGTATAGGTGCGCAGTTTTCTACTGCGGTCAAATGGAAGCGGAAATGAGAGGTCTGGTTTCTTTTCGCTCGAGGTCACGTTATATAAGCCCCCCTGTCCACACACAACATTTTCCGTGATTAGGCATGATTAGTTATTGAATTTCAGTTAGAAACGATGCCCAAACCTGCGTTTCGTTAGACTAGTTTCGTTATACGACGTATCGTTAGTGAGCGTCCTCACACACAATGTCATCGTAAAACTATCGCGAAACGGTATAGCTAATCACGCCTAATCACGGAAAATGTTGTGTGTGGACAGGGGGATAATAATATGGTCATTTTTTTATACAATCGTAATTTGTATAACATGCAAATAAGATTAAAACAATGAGGGGAATTTGATTTTAAAATATATTCTATATGTACATTTAACCGTATAGAATAAAAAAAAACTATACATACTCATGAAATTCAATAAGTTGTCAAACAGTGGAGTTAGATAGTATAGATGGTGAATGAATGAATGAATGAATGAATGAATGGTGGTGGTTATTTTACCTGACTGCTAAAAGAAAGCAAGTAAGCAACCAGACGGCCGACGGCTTTAGGTCCTCTCCGAGGGACCTGGTATTGAGGACTAATGCCTTACCAAAGGGCACTAGCGCATCGCCTTGGTTTCGAACCCGGGTCACCGGATTACAAGACCACTGCTCTACCGACTGAGCTATTGCGTCTCCTTAAGTATTCTGTAAAGTTAATTTCATGCATGTTTTAGAGAACTTGAAAGATATATTTTATTCTTTGTACTTGATTATAGAATCGATTATTGCTCTTTAATACATATATTTTTTGTTCACGTTTGCGTAATTTTCCTTGTTCTTGCAGCATACGTAGGAAACCTGCTGTCTTTCTCTGAGAACCTAGAGAAGCTTGGATCCAATTCCCTCACCAGGGAGAGGGAGCCTGACCTGGGAGCCGCCTTCCTCAAGTTTTCTGTCGTCACCAAAGAGCTCGCAGCACTCCTCAAGAATCTGGTAAGGATATCAACTTCTCTGAGACTGATTTCTTTATAAATACCACTATTAATCTTTGCAGGATAGGTCAGTTTCCAGATAAATCCAAGTTTATTGATATGCTCATGTACTTTGGAAGTTTCCCACAGTTTCACACATCTTGCACAATTCTTAAAAGTCTCTTTCTCTCTTACAAGTTTTGCAGCTCCCTTTTGGATCTAAAATTTTGAAAGGGGATACAAGAACACAACTAGGGTGCTTGGACACACACTTTCCTTTATGTACTGTAAGGGTATGCCTCTAAGGTTTTATGAAGGAGGGTTAGAAGTTGGTTGTGCCCCCCTCCCCTCATCAAAGTGCTTGAACTACAATCAATGCTTATGATGTGCTGTTTTGTCTCTGCAGGTCCAGAACATCAACAATATCATCATGTTTCCTCTGGATTCACTCTTGAAAGGAGATTTAAAGGGACAGAAGGGTGACCTCAAAAAACCTTTTGAGAAGGCTTGGAAAGACTATGAATCAAAGTAGTAAGTATATTCATGTCTTGTCTTGTATCTAGTACTTTAATAGTCTGAAGCTGTACAATTTGCAGGAAAATATTGGTTAAATTCATATTTTTATGTTTTTCTCTCCACAAGAACAGAACAATTAGGTGAACACTAGCAATATTATTATTAATATATAATGATGTAAAGGAACTTTCATGTCTTATGTACAGCTTTAAAGAAAGTATAGGAATCCATATTTCTGATGAATCTCAGGGTGACCTTCATGTTTTGCATGTACAGTCAAACCTGCTTTAGTGACCATCTGTCTACAAAGGCCACATTTTGTGTTTCCCTTGAAAATGGTTTCTCATTGAATCATGTACTAAAGGAACCTGTCTACAAAGACCACTTTGTGTGTTTCCCTTGAGCGGTCGCTATGGACAGGTTTGACTGTATTGAGCATACTGAGTGAAACTAGATTAGCTGTTACGGGATGCATTGGGCATGAAATTCTTATGAATGAAGCTATCATAGAGGTATGCAAAATAGATTTATTCTAAACGATACTGAAATACTGAATGGAATCGCGAGAGAAATACTGGTTGTTTATTTACAACTGTATAAAGATACAGCATAGTTTGTTTACCCTATACTTTTATTGATGTGAAGTGTATTCATTCACATTAATTGCTTTATTCATAAATCTCTATTGTAGGAAGAGGCCAGTAGATTGATTTCTCTCTTTCATACGCACTAATTCTGATCCTAGCACGATGGAGATACCTTGATAAAAAAACTCGTTCATATCAGTAGAGTAGGACCCGGAGGCGCAATTATTTATCTGTCATTCTAATGCCGCCATAAATTACTTTGTGCTGCACTCAACCAAAACAAGGGACCAGAAAAGGGGGGATACGGAGAAACGCACATATATATCTACATCTATTGGGATGGGGGAGATTATGACTCATCTGACTGCTATTAGTGGAGCTGCGTTCACACAAGACGGGGTGTTCAGACAGAGTTTTAATTTGATTTGGAATGCTGTATTACACATCGGTATCATACAAATTGGAAGGTGACATAAAGGGTAATGTTAAGATGGAACTGATCTTACTACTATTATTGGAGCTGTGTTCACACAAGATGGGGTGTTCAGACAGTGTTTTAATTTGATCCAGAATGCTGTATTACACATCGGTATCATACAAATTGGAAGGTGGGATAAGGGATAATCAGAGCTGCCAACTAGTACGGATTTCCCGTAATTGGTACGGAAATTAACGACCATTACGGAATGTTGTCTCAAATTACGGATTTTAAAAAAAAAAAGTTTTTTTTTTTTTTTTTTTTTTTTTTTTTTTATTTTTTTTTAAAAATAAATTAAATATGATTTATCGTAGCGAGTGCTGTGAATAGAAGCCATGTTTCATGATAAACTGTGTTGTGATGACCTGAAATTCAATATTTAACATCTTTGTGTGAGTAAAATCACCGAAAATTTCAGATAATCATGCGTCCGCGCAGTGTTGGCGTGCCGTTTTTTTAGATTCATAGCGCCGCATAAGAAATTACTGATTTATACCCCAAATTACTGATTTTGAGCCTTGTGATTACTGATTTTCTGTTCTGGAGGTTGGCAGCTCTGGATAATGTTAAGATGGAACTGATCTTACTACTATTATTGGAGCTGTGTTCACACAAGATGATGGTGTTTAGACAGGGTTTTAATTCAATCCAGAATGCTATTTTAGACATTGGTACCATACTAATATTATTGGTAGGTGGGATAAAGGGTAAGTCCAGATGGGCGAGGAGTTGATTATACTTTCAGTGTATGATTCAGATGGGCAGCAGATGCTTCATTATGCACTTTTCAGACAGGGGTTTGAGTGAAAGAAAACGAAATTGAATTTAACACCAATTTGCTTCTAGCAGTATTTCATTTTTTCCTTCCAAAATGGAGGAAAACCTTTTCTGAGCCAGAACAACTGTATGTCATTTTCAATTTTTAAATTTAATTGAAATTGATTTAAGAATTTGATGATTACATTTTCTATTATTATTAAATTTAATATAACTGGTGGCATTGATTGGTTTTGTAAATGCTGTAAACATATTAAACCTTCACAATTGTTTTTGTATGAAGAAGAAGAACAAAATATAAATACATAATTGATAGGGAATATGAACAGCATACAGGGATACTCTTCCCTTTTAAAACTAGTATTACTAACAAGAAGACATTTGTTCCCTTGAAAATGCTAAAAATAAACACTAGATACACTGTGGCTTAGGATGGTGTTGTTTGTAGTTGAAAAAACCCAAAACAAAACTCAATAGGCCTGTCCTCACTATCTCGAGATTGCCAAATATCCAGCTATTTGAAATATCCAGCTAATTTGCGTCTTCATCAGACCGAAGTAGCAATTAGAAGGATATTTGGTCGGGATTGTCTTTCCAAGATATCTTGGGATAGTTTGCAAAGTATCCCACTATTTGGCAAAATATCCAGCTATTTGTCCTGTGCGTCTTCACTAGACTGAAGACTTCGCATTATGCGCTAATGCTGAGCAAAATATCTCAAGCTAATTTCTCACGGTTGAGTTTCTAGTTTCGAGGTCGAATCTCGAGCTAATGAAGACGCAATTTGTAACTTCGGGATTATTTCCCAAATCAGAAATAATAATAATAATAATAAACAATATTTATAAGGCGCTTAATACTGGTGTCTCTAAGTGCACCATATTCTGACTTAACAATTATTTACCAAAACTTATAATAAACACACAACTTACACATCTGTTCTTTATTCAATAAATCATGCATATATAATAATAAAAAATAAGATAAGAGTGAGATCAAACAAACATACATACAAGAGGTCAAACATAGGATCAAACATAGGATCGAACAAACAAAAAATAAGACGGTGTGCACCTCCTTTGACCGACTCACAACTGCAGAAATAGCGGCCTATTTGGCAATCTCGAGATGATGAAGACGCGCCTTATGTCTGTCCCGAATTCACAAAGGAGGTTTGTGGACAAACCTAACCTCCTTTGTGAATTCGGGCCTATGAGGTTGAAAAAACAGGTGTATTGTTTTATGATGGCAATGACATACATTGGCATTCACATTTAGACATAAATACTTTAATAGATACATGTACATCATTTATGATGATAGCATAGGAGGTAATGTGATGACCTTAGAGTAAATTCCAGTTCAGGTCACATCACTTTACTTCAAGACATTAGAAATGATGTTCTGTAAAGTCTCTGTTCAGCCATACTGAATAAGGGTGGGGGGGGGGGGGGTAAAGTAACATTAATGGACTTTCATTTTTCATTCAAAGAGAGAGGGAGAAATTGTGGAAGAACATGTGCTCTTCACTCAAAAGGGGAAGTGGAAGAGAATTGACACAGCATGTTCCTGCTCCAATATAAAACCATTTGTTTCCCCCTTTCAAACATTTTCATTGGCAGACAAATATAATTTCACTTAATATTTTTCCATTCATTTCACATGAGTCCTGGAGTTTTCCAAAAGGTAGTTGAAAAGAAGAAATTATGCTATGCAATGGTCAACTTTGTTAGACCAGAGGGAAATAGATGGATGAAATGTCACATACCGGTACTACACCTCTTGACAGTATTTTTTGTTTGAAATATTTTCAATACATGCTAGATTATATAAAAAAAATAAAAATAAAGTTCATTTTAATATATGCTATACCTTTGAGCTTCCTTTTCTTGGACCTAGTTTCTCCTTGTGTTTATTTCTCATATCTGGAATGACACTTTTACAGTATAAAACACAAACAGATCATAAGGAGTTAAAATTAATTACTTCAAAGTCAATGTGAAAAATAAATGGACTAAATGTATGTCTGCTGCCTACAGTATACAGGAACTTGTTTCTTCCAGCCACCAGCCAGTTTGGAATTAATTATGCCTGACATTTATATTGCAAAGCCTCTCTGTACATGATGAATGTGTTTTGGTTGTAAATGAATACCGCTATGGAGAGTGGAGTTCTCCTGATGTCTTTATTTGGTCGTTACCAATCACATGGTCTGTTAGTAATGGCCTGTCTTCCAGGAGGAGTGATTATTTGTTTCTGTTGCCACTCAGACAGCTCTGTCCCAAGCCTCAGCTTGCCAAGACTGGAATAAAAACTAATATAAACTAGGCATCCTTCTCTTTTCCCTCTAAAGATAGTATGAAAAGTGTGGTAGTGTTGGTTGAGGCTTTTCTCCAGACTCCAGGAAAATACAGTGTAATTAATTATTGAAAACTGAACAAAAAACACTGGTCTTGTAAGACAGGCTAGATGGAAGCAATGTTTGGGGCTGGAAGCTGGAAATGTGATGAATGGATTGTCAGAGTAATACAACTCAAGCGTGGGAGGATACTTATTGAGACACACATTTATCTGAGTATGTGGGACTGTACAAACAAAGTCTGTGTTGAATGCGGAGTAATTTGAAAAATGCCCTGCTTTTTTGCTTGTAATGGAGTCATGACATCAAAATGCTTCCACCTTGAAAGTTGAAACTAAATATATGTAGATGTATACACGATGCCTACTGAAGCATGACATTGAATGATGTATTTTCGGGGGCTTTGAATGCATATTATTTCAGTTTATATTAAAAACTCTTTGAAAGGTACGTGTGTATAAAAGTAGACAGTACTGCAGTACTTTTAACTTGTGGTCTGTCTTTTTTTGTTCTCATCTCTTACTTTTCTCTCCAGCTCAAAGATAGAGAGGGAGAAGAAACAGCAAGCCAAAGATGCTGGTCTCATCAGACAAGTTGTATCTGGGCCAGAGGTAAGAATCTATTATGTTCCATCTTCTTCTATGGGTCATCTCTCTTGACAAGTCATTTGCATATATGGGTCATCTCATTTGCATAAGGTCAATTCTTCATTGAGGAAAATCTGCATAATTCTTTTAAAATATTGTTTAAACTATATATGAATCTTTAATTTCCTGTGCTGATAAATGCCTTCCATTTAAAATAGTAAAATACTTGTAAATGCTAAATATATTACTCATTGCGGATATAGTATCAAAAATAATATCGCTAGTGACAGTTGTTTGTCTCGCAATATATGGTCAACAAGGGATCTAAAAGATCACAACGTTTTGTGTGCCGCTGCTACACTTCATCAGGTGATAAAATACTTGTTGTTCCAATAATGCATCAGTTGACTGAAAAGTTGGAAATTTAGAATCAAAATGGCTTTGGATTATGATATATTGTAGATAATTATACATCATGCATGAGCCAAAAGAAATTTAGATCATATTCATATCAGTCAATAAACAGAATGGTTACTAAACCAACATGGGAGGAATAGCCATATATCTAAGATCCAGTCTATACCCATCCCTTCTGTAAAATACAGCAAATGGTTCATTCAAGCCTTTCGAATGGGACCAGTCAATTTGCCTAGGCCAGACTATGTTTTTTTTCTTCAAACGACTGCTGGCTTCACCAAAGTCTTGTACGTATGCAGGAATGGGAATCCCATACGGTGTCTGCATGGTGCAAGCCCACGGCGATGAAATATCCATCCATCAGTGCTTGCTCTCAGACTTGACTATTTAAACACGGAAAGTGAGTCAGTGGAAAGGAGTTCCAAGGGAAGCCTGGTTGTATTAATAGTAACATGACAGGTACTCCACGATACACGTAGCCCACTAGTAAACCAAGTATATTGTCTGCAATGTAAAAGTGATTTTTACGAGTTAATGCCCTTCTGGCTCTTTGCAAATGACAAGTAGAGATTTGATTTGATTTGATTTGATTTGATTTATTTCCACTCAAATATCCATAAATCAAATGACATACCGTAATTAACGGTGTACTAACCGCACCTTTTAAAAAAAAAAGTTTCGATTTATGCCCCTCCACCTGGCGCTATGCCTGGCAATGTCTCCCAGCTCAGTAATCGGTGTGTTGACTCACTACTCGGAAACTAGAACAACTCTCAAATTTGTCTGTCATCTTGGTTTGAAAATAATCTTTCTGATAGATTTCAATATGTAGTTTATAATAATAATTCCTCCAATTTTTCTTCTATTACACGGCGTACCACAAGGTTCTATCCTAGGTCCTCTACTGTTTTTTAAGTCGGCAAAAAAAAAAAGTCGGCGAAAAAGAGGGGTGCGGTTAATACACGAGGGCGGTTTATACACCGTTAATTACGGTATATAAACCATACAGTAATACAATATATATAATAGAACAAATGAATTATACAAGTAACGAAATACTGACAAGTATGTTCGTAATCAAATAAGTTTACAAAATACATTTAAGTTTGAGAATAAGACAAAATATTTTATATTGCTTGATTTAACTGAGAGGGGAAAAAGATTATCTGTTAGGAGCCAGAAGGGTGTCAAGTCTGTGTACTTGAGTGAGTTAACACCGTTCTACATGAAGCTTCCAGTAAGGATCACATCCCATTTTATTGGAAAATGTACTGTAGATAGATTGATTAATTTCTGTAGAATGTCAAACAAAGTTTTGAAGAGGCACTCTAGAAGTGATAAAAGAGGAAATTGTGGTCTGAGTAGCAAGTTTGATGATAGATTCATTCAAGCTCTTCTCTGCTCAAGAATGCCAGGTACCTCATCAAAATGTGGGTGGTTTAAACTGACAATAGCACACACAAACTATATACAGTGTTACATACAGTTCCTATAGAATCCATGGAAGGATTTACTTTCCTGTTCCTGATGGTCTTGCACTTTGCCAACAGGGGATTTCTGTACTGAAACATACATATGTAGGCCCATTTTCATTAGCCAAAGTTGTCAAAATATCTTGCTTATTCCGATCAGGAAAAATTCTCCTTAGATCACAACTAGCTTGAGCTAATCCACATCAAAGACAACAATGGTGGGCCATTTTACCTTTGCACATTAGATACCTTTAATACCTTAAAGCTATTACCTAAAGCAAAGTAGATTTCATTTATAAAATAGCTGGCTATTCATTTATTTAGCCCAAAGTATATTTTGCAGGTGATGATGAACTACAATGTAAGTTGATGCACTAGGTCAATGCTATGCTCTGGAGCTTGAGTCTATTAGTAGGCATTGCTTGACTTGGGATAATGGAGATGGAGAAATTCAAGTTGAGCCTTTTTCTAGGGAAGCACTAATTGGTCTAATACCTTGTTGAGGCTAATGTAAATGCTTCCTTAGTTTACAGATTGGCCATATGAAGGAGCAATTTCACAAATTACCTGGTTTTTCAGAGGATTGTTCGAGCTAATGTAAATGCACCTTTTAGTTTAATACAGATTGGCCATATGATGGAGCAATTTCACAAATTACCTGGTTTTCAGAGGATTGTTCGGGCTAATGTAAATGCACCTCTTAGTTTAATACAGATTGGCCATATGATGGAGCAATTTCACAAATTACTTGGTTTTCAGAGGATCATGAGACTCATTAATTTGCAGTTGCCATTGCATCTGCGGAACACATGGTTCATTCGTAGTTATCCAGCTGTCTGCCTGTTCTCAGAAGTTCAATTTCCCAGATGCCCGCCTGGTGAGATGCATGAACAGCTTCGTCGACCTTTTTTTAACCTTCGGCCTGGATGTACTTTTTGGGGGAAAACTCACAAAAATGATCATCATTTGGTACTTACCCAAACCTATAATGGATTTTTTTTGTTTAATTCATGAAGAGTAAGATCTTGTTGAAAGTGTACCAATTGCCTAAAAAAAAAGAGAAAAAAAGAGAAAAAAAGAGAAAAAAAAAGGGATTTGTATACAGCTAGAACGTTTTATTAATCTAAAACAAAACAACTTTATCTGGCTTTCTATGGGCTAAACAGATAAGGAGTACAAAGAAAGTTAAGAATGGAATCCCTTTCCTGCATTTACATCTCCTTGTGAAGAATTAATATCCACATTTTTGAACATGTTGCTAATATAAATATGATTAATTAATACATCTGATAGAACAGCTAACCCTATGAGAAGCACCACCGGTCTTTCTTCCCCATGAAATTCATACAGAGCCTAGCAGAAAGAACAAAAACACTGTCGTACAGACGGGTAGTATAAGCGCTATAAAAGTCCATCCCCATGCCGCTGATAGGAACTGTCAAAGTCCATGCACATCACGCCCCAATGGTACATTGGTGGATGGAGTGAGGAAGATAGGAAGGAAATGAAGTTCTGGATAGAGGGTAATTTCCTGACTAACAGCCAAATGAAAAAGAAAACGGTCTCATTCTTCTCACAGCAAAGAAACCAGACAGATTCACAGTGAATGTACACGCATACAAGAAGACATGAACCTACAGTGTATTATCTGAGGGGTATAGCTTACTAAATGAAATAGCAAAAGTAAATGTATCTATTATTAATTCCAGGTTTGATATTTCATTCACATATTCGAGTTTGAGTATATATATATTTACTAACAGCAAATAATTATTTAAAAAAATGGCATACCTGTACCTGTACCTTTGACCTTCTAAACTGTCACCACAAAAAAGAAGAAAATAAATAAAAACTGACCTATTTCAAAGAATGACAAGAGTTACCTGTACATGTAATGTTAAAATGTAGTAAAATAAAATGATAAGAAAGCTAAACCCACAGCCCACCACGTTTACTAAATTTTACCCACATACACATGAAATGCTCTTTTCATTTTGTTGTTGTTTGTTTCAAGTTAGTTAGTCTGTTTATACACTGTTACATTTTTGATCGATGCTTAGAGTTAGATTATTATAATGTTTGTAATGTCTTGTACACACAGTCATATCTCTTTGCATTTATTTATACAATAGCATTTTTACGATCTATTTTTTGGAAATTAATAAAGTTCTCTCAACGATTTTATATTAATACAAAATATTTTGTATACCTTGCTTTCTGTAGGACTAATATGATTATGAATGCTTCAACAGTCATAAAATTCTGATAGAATGTTCAATTTGACATACCAGTACTTTAATACATTGAGCAATTAGTAAGCTATGTTTGAAATTGCCCAGAACATTGGAATATTTTAATAGAATTCCTTGTGAAATCATTTCTAATATCTGCATATTTGCTTTGCATTGGAGAGAAAAGTCATTATGGGAAGGAATATAACATGTATAGTCAGGCATATAACATGAAGTGTCCTGACAAATGTTGCAAATGGTACAACTATGCTTCTCTGTGGAGAAAAAACCCCAGATAGCCCATACCCAACACCAACATTTTTGATACAGTCATGAATGTACATGTACATGTACATTTAATAGTTGTTTGTTAGTTATTTCAGAATGTAAGCAAAAGCAGTTCCCAATTTTTTTAAGGAAATGCTAGTAAAAATAGTAAGGGAATATTAGTATCCATCTTTAGTATGAATAAAGATAATTAGATTGTATTGCTGTACGTACAGCTCCGTTTTAGTACATTTAGATATCATCAAGATAAGTAATTTTGAAGGAATATAAATGGTTTTATTGGGTTTATTGCCGTCCATATTATCCTGCTTCCCCATCACATTTTTGATAGTGTTTTTAAAAGTTGACTAGTACTGGAGCTTTAACTTGTAGTTAACCTTTCAAGAAGTAGGTTGACTGTCTCGTAACAGTGACATGATGATATAGGCCAAATGGTCTCTCAGAAATATTAAATTGTCTCTAATGGGGGTATTAGGCCGCAATGATCAAGGCTTTATATTACCAAGGACTTGACTATCTGTCAGGGATATCTACACGGAAGAAGAATCTACATTCGTGGGGAAAACAAAAGTCAGCTATCGAGCTATCTCTTTTCATCAAGTTTTGTATTAATTAAATTTGAACATGTACAGAAAGATTGGATTTAAAGGAGTCAAAACCTTCTGTTGTTAGAAGATGCATTGCCAATTTGACAAGCAGATTATGCTTTTGCTTGATGTGGGGTTTAATACAGATAGATTGTCAAAAGACCTGTCAGTCGGATCATGTATTCAAGAAAAAGGAAACAAAAAAAGAAGGAAAAATTTGTCACAATTTGTTTAGATTTGCAGACAGCTTATAAACATTTTAGATAAGCCAAAGGAAAATATTGAAGGGGGTGGGGGTGAGGGGGGTGGGGGGAGAGTCTCTCTCGACCCATAGCACATACAGTACCTTCCCTTCTGTCCACGCCCCTTGATACCCAGTCATGTAACAACGTCAGTGTTACTCCATGCCATGTTGATGAAGTGGTTACGTCAGAAGTAGACCGCAGGCAGTCTGACTTGCCTAGCTGAACCAGGGAATTATTTCACCTACCTTTGCTAGCTGCCTGAATCCAGGATAACCTAGCGCGGTCAATTGTTCCGCGAAATTTACGGGAGTGTCTTGGCAATGTAAACCATACAGAGGAATCTTGGTGTAACCTTAAGCATGTACCTAATGCCACACTTCCCCCCTAGGTAAGGAAACATGTTATTAAGCAGAGTTACCCGGTCAATTAATTAAAGTCAGTCGGTGACAAGACTGATGTATTATTGTGGAGCTTTGAGCCCAGCTGGGCCGATGGCTGGGGTTAAGGGGGGGGGGGGGGGGGGTTGGTACAGGGCATTGGTACAGGGCATTGCTTTGCCCTGTATAATTATAACTATATTTTGATGTTTTGATGTAGGGTTATATCTGTAGGAGTTTTTGTTGGAATGGAAGCTGTTATTGCACAGGGATGTACATGTATGTATATACTCCTTATTGACTTGTTATCATGACTGTAACGATGTACACTGTACATGTAGTGTCTTGTATACATGTGTAGTCCTCTTTTCATGAGGGTGGGATAATTACAGTCTTACAGAAATGGAAATCATTTTTAATCCAACAATAGAAATAAAGATTTTTTCTGTACAGGTTTTTGTTTTGTTTTTGTTTTTCCCCCCTCTATTTAGGCATTATTATTGTTATTTTTTTAAATCACCTTTTTAAACATCAATATTATACTTATACTGTTTTGGTGGTAGCACCATTAAAGCCTTTGGCTTTCATAGCTGTCTCCACATTCATATGACATTTTTGTCGTTGTGTATTCTATTGTAAACATTTTTCTTTAACTTGTACAGTACACTATGTTTTGTATTTCATGTTTTTTAATGATGTTTTCATTATGAATGAAATAAAGATCATTTAGTGAAACTCAAAGTTTTTAATTCAATGAACCTTGAAGTGGAATTTGTATTTTTTTAAAGTTGGCTATACAATGACCTTTGTTCCATCTCTTCATAATGTCAAATGCATAGAAACCATATGAGCCAGGATCTAATTGTTAATGTAGCCTACTTGTTAATATCCTGTAAATTGACTTACATTATCATTAATGAAGCCAATCAGGTCGATTACAGAATATAGGGATACGAAACCTAAGAATGAGTAATTATAGAACAGAATGGGCCAAGTGATGCTCAGTGGATTTCTTTCTAAGGCCACCCAAACAATTCCATTGATTAAAGGTAATACTAGGTTTTGGTATGGGGTCATGAATTTGGTTCGAATGGACATATTGGAAGCATATGCGATTTTACATTATGTTCGTTGTAAATTGTAAATATTCAAAGCTTTATGTTGTATAGCCTTCTCTCAAGACTGATATTACATTAGCTTTAAAACAATGTTTTTATTTTTTATTACTACAATCGACCGATTTGCTATTCCCGTTCAGAAAATATGTATTAGAACTGCATATTCTGAGATTTTCATGGACGCAGCTAGAATGGCACTAGGCACTATTTGAAATATTTGAAATTTATTGGGAGGTAAATTTTTGATTATTCCATTTCTCGAAAGCAGAAGTGTTTTAGGGGCTAAATTTTCTAGTGCTTATAATACATCCACAGGGGCATCCAAATATATCAACATTTTAAAGCATTACTATCCATCCAATTTTCGAAATTTCCCACAACTTTGCATTACCTTTTAATTAGTAAATTAATTTGTGTGCATCCTTTTTTGTCTTTATTCTAGGTTGCAGAAGAGATGGAGAAAGAAAGGAGAATGTTCCAACTACAAATGTGTGAGGTGAGAGCAGTAAGATGAATATTAAATCTAGTTGCACAGGTTTGAAATGTTAAATGAGAATGGTATGTGTATGTTTCTTAGAGGCAACACAGAGACTTGAATACCACACTTAAAAAAGAAGAAAAGCCATTTACATGTAGATTTAGACATTTCTGCCTCAAGATAATGCAATTTTGTTGTTTTTGTGATATGCATGACATGTTGAGAGTTGACAAATTCAGGAACTAAGATTTCAGTTTTTAATTAACAAGTTCCTCTTTGCTTTTCTGGAGTGGAGAATTCGAGGAAAGCAATTTGGATATTTTTGCATTTTCAAAGAATTGCGCACAGGTGCTTTAAAGCAAATGTCTTCCCCTCCTGCCCCAAATTTTTTCGGGGGGGGGGGGGGGGGTTGGATACAGTGTTTTAGATAAGCTGTAGGTCTAGTAGCAAAATATGTATAAAATTGAGGCAAGGTACATGTTTGCACTTTCAAATTCATTGTTCATAGTTCTTCATAGCACCAAGTTACTCAATTTCTACCAGGATGTTTACTAGAGTTGTAGGGGGAAACCCATCAGTGAAAACCTGGCTCGCTGATCTTGCTTTGTCCCTGTAAGCTGCTACATATCCTATGACAGAAGATCAATGAAAAAGGCAGACCTTTGATCCTTTATCATTTGAATGAGATAGCATAAACTACAGAATTTACAGGGGAAAAGAGCAACATGCACCAGAAAATACATGCTTGTTTCTTTTACAATGCTTGTGGTTCCAAATAAATTCTCTGAAATCGTCGCAAATTTTAATATGGCAACACTCACAAGCATTTAATGTAAAATTGTTTGCTTGTACTTTTTACACAAGTTGCTGTTTCGTGCTGCTTTATAGATTGCGTATCCATGAACATTCATTCTCTTTGCATATTTTTTTTTTAGCAGGGCATTATCAACAGTAAAATGTTATTGCCAATTTAAAGAGGAAAAGCTGCTTTAATGAGTCCTGAAATCTTAAAATGCCAGAACAAATACTATTCAATGAGACTTGTGTTTAATCTGTGCAAAATCACAGTTATGGCACAAAAAGGATGAACACATCACCCCTGAATGGATCAACTACAGTGAGACTAAAGGAGACAATTTGCATTTATTCTTCATATAATTTTTGTGATTTTAAACTTCTTGCATTTGTAAAACTGAGCATTTTTTAAAAAAACCTTTGACCCCACAGTACTTATTCAAAGTTAACGAGATCAAGGCAAAGAAAGGAGCGGAGCTTGTACAACATCTAGTGGAGTACTACAGAGCAGAAAACAGGTGAGTTGCTATGAAATATATAGAAGAATAGATTATTATATTAGCTTGTACAACATCTAGTGGAGTACTACAGAGTAGAAAACAGGTCAGTTGCTACAGATCTGCCAACCAGTACGATTTAGTCGCATTTCTTTTTTTTTTCTTTTTCTTCTTTAAATTTTGTTTATGTGTGCGCCATAAATGCCCATCCCCCCATTTGGGGATGTTCATTGGTTCATCGAACACACCAGTCGTGACGAAGTCATGCATATTCAACCAATGATCCATACAAAAATTCTTCCTGTATGTAGGAACTGTAAGAGGCATTGATCCATATAACAGTCCGTGTTTATTTTTGAGAATACAACTTTTGTCAGTAAAATACAACTTTTCGGATTAAAGAATACAGTTTTTGAACTCCAGAGGTTAGCAGGTCTGTTGCTATGAAATGCTACAAAGAATAGATTATTAGGTTGAGGAAAGTTGAGGAAATGGATTTGTGAAATTTTCATGTTGTGAAATAATTGAATCACCGGTAATTGTTTGTGATTCATGGAAGATTCTTATTCCGGTGTTACGGTAAACAACCAAACGTTTACGGGGAAATGATAAATAAGTACAATATAGCGTATGCTGCCTATCTACACATAGCCTCCGTACACAGCTCGGTACGGCGCTGCATGTCGCACACATTCACTCACAAGTTCACTGAATTTGACTACATTGGATGGGCACTTTCGCTCACGACACGCTTATTGCGCACATGGTCTATGATGCCACCAACAGATCGTCCGCTGCCATCTCATGTAACGTTTTGATGCACATCTTTATTTTGAACTTAAAAATGGTAGGTGCAAAATGCAGTAATAAGAGTGATTGGGTGTTTGTGTGCGTTTTTGCGTGAAAAACATGCTGCGTTGTGTTGTGTTCCGGAAATAATAATAATTATAATTGCTTGTATAGCGCCCAAAACTTACTTTATCAGAAGTCTCTAAGCGCTCTACAATAACGCAGCATAATTACCTTGGCTTTAGCAGTGCAGCTGTTACGCGCGCTGCGTTTCAAGGAATTTTTTCCTGAAAAATGTTCCCGACAACCATCTTATAGGGTTGGCATCTCTGTTTTTGGTGTAAAATTTGCAGTCACTGATAATCCACAAGAGTTCATGTTTCGAAAGTTCTGGTTTTAGAATGAAATGGAATTAGCATAATTTGCTTCACACTTCAATTTTTTGTTAAACACACAGATAAGATGCACTCAGGGGCCCTTGTTGCATCTTTCCATCTCCACCTGCCATTCATTTACACCTAAAGTGACTTTCATTGTGCCTTGGTTGTCTTGGATATGATTTAATGAGTCCGGGGGGTGTTTCACAAAGATTCTAAGTTGAACTTTACTCTAAGTTGGACTTAAATATTATGGAGAGCCATTTGTAGCCTTATAATGAAATATATTCAAAAGCAAAAATTGAAGTATTTTAGACTTTTCATAAATTCCACATCAAGAACATGAAATCTTCCATGATAATACAAAATATGAATGATCTGAATCAACATTTTATGCCCTTTAAAATAACTTTTACAAAATATTTTCAAGGATGCTAATGGCTTTCCATAATTGTTAAGTCCAACTTAGAGATAAGTTCAACTTAGGATCTTTGTGAAACACCCCCAAGTTTGAACAATGCTCTTTTGTGTTATGAATAACAAATGATGTGCCAGTCAATCATTCCCTGCTGTCCATTTTATCTTCTTCATTTCTCTCTTCACGTTCCGCTTACAGCTACTTCCGAGATGGCTTAAAGACCGTTGAGCACTTCCAGTCGTACATCGATGAGCTCTCCTCACATGTCTCCAAAATCAAGGCACGCCAAGATGAAGAGAGAAGGCAGCTGTTAGAGCTGAAATTGACCCTCAAGAATAGTTTGAATATAGAAAAAGAGGTAAGAATAATAATACTACTAATAATGTTACGGGTTTGTATAGTATTGTAAAACTTGTATGACCTGCCATGAGTCTGGAATGTGTCCATTCTCCTGTTATCTATAGATGACAAGTTCTTTTGAAATAAAGACTTGATGAAACAACATTGATTATTTTTCCTTGTGCTCATTTTAGATAGATGGCGCAATACAATTGCCTACTATTGTTATTATTCTTCTTATGGCCAATAAAATTCGACTCTTGAATCTCAAATTCTATCTCCTGTAGACTCCACCAGAGAAGCAAGGCTACAGTCTGCATCAGCTCGAGACCAACAACGAGGTTGGCACGGAGAAGACCGGCTACCTCCACAAGCGCACCGAGGGACTGCGCAAGGTCTACCAGAAGCGCAAGTGTGATGTCTGCGATGGCTACCTCCAAATATCACATTCCACGCCGAGCCGTGCCCCAGCCAAGCTCAACCTCCTCACCTGTCAGGTCAAACCGTCTCCGGAAGAGTCCAGCCGCAAGTACTTTGACCTTGTTGCGCGTAAGTGGTCATGAGCCTTTACTTCAAAGTTACAGCAAACTTAACTATTTTATACTATGTCAGGAATGCATGCATAGATATTGTTATAATGAAATGAATTGGCTAGTTCTAAAAAGATAGGTTTTTAATTTCTTATTACCCATAACTCATGAGTTCTTTCATTCCTGTAGGATGAATAAGAGAGATATGTCATTTAAAAATGTCATATTTTGTAATGAATATTTGAAGCAAATCATGAAACTGTGTTTTTGAAGATTAATTTGCTTGAAAGCGCTTGAAAGCAATCATTCAAATTGTATGATTACCCTCTCCCCGAAATGAGATTCATTCTGACACGGCTATTTTGCTTGTGAGAAAGAATTTATTTCATATTTAGAGATTAAAGATATAGTAGATTGGTATTCTATGAAATATGATGCTCTTATCCATCTGTACTATCCTGATGCCTTAAAACATCTCCTTATTACCATAACACAAAATGTTGTGTTGCTGTTCTTCTCCGATTTGCAGAAGATAGAACGTACCACTTCATGGCAGATACAGAGGAGGAGGCGGAGGAGTGGATCTCGGTTCTCAACAACAGCAAGAAGTTTGCCCTGGAAGCAGTCTTTAACGAGGGGTCATCGCCTTCGGAGGTCGCCAATAGAGGGCTGCAGGATCTCACACAGAGCATCGTGAAAGAAGTCAAGCGGTTGCCCGGCAACAACATATGCTGTGATTGCACCGCAGCAGGTGGGAAAATGTCTTGTGATGGTGATCCAGTATTTTCTGCTGGGACACTCTGAGCTTTATTTTGTCAAAGTCATAAAGTTAGGGCTTGGGTTGGGTGTTAAGTTAGGCTCAGGTGTGTAGGTGGAGGAGGGTTAGATATGGTATTAGGTTCATTGTTGGAGTTAGAGAAGCGGTTCGTGTTACATAAATGGACTGCCGAGCAATTGTTGGAAGGGTATGTACCATACAAACCTCTTTGTGAAAACATACAGAATACTCTGTATCCTAATATTTTCTAAAGAGTTTCCTAATTTTTTTTCAATGGAAGGTTGGCAGTCATGGCTAGTTCAATCTTTTCAGAATCTAAACACTAGAAAACAAAATGAACAGCTGTTACAGCTCTGCAAGACTCATGAATGTTTTTATATGTGGTAAATTCTTTCAGGTATCTTTGAATAACTTCAGGATTACTTTTCTCACGGTAGCATGATTTGCAGAAAATTCTTTCTCCAATTCTTCATATTCATCTTCTACATGTATATATTGATGATGGAGCAAAAATATCACTTTTATCCTATTCATTCAATTCTGTTCTTTTTTACTCTTACTGGTTATGTTTTTATTTCTTGCTTGTTTGCAGATCCGCAGTGGTTGTCTACTAATCTAGGTATCCTGACGTGTATAGAATGTTCAGGTGTCCATAGAGAGATGGGTGTCCACATATCAAGAGTACAGTCTTTAGAACTTGATAGACTCAGCACGGCACAACTACTGGTGAGTTTCACTCATGCCCAAAGACATTCGGTCGATGCAGTGTTTTTAGAGGATTTTGATTTTGATTTTGATTTTGATTGAACTGGTGATAATTAAAAAGGATATATACGTTTCCATACCCTGACATGTTTTGCATGACCCTTTTCAGAAGTACAGTTTACATTGTCTCTCATTTCTTGTAAAGGATAATCATAATGCTAAGGACTTATGGTCTGTGAAAGGCTTATGTGTGAAGTACCTTAGCCAATTTTAGTGGCAGGTAAGAGTGAAAGCTTTTAGATAAAAAAACGCATCTGTCCTATCACATTTGTCTTTCCTATCTATGATCTTTATAATCCGTATAAATCATCATAAATGGTGCATTCCTGCTCAGGCTAGCTATATATCAGACAGTTAAAGATGACTCTTAACTAATCAGCTGCTCAATTTCATTGAAAATTTGCTGTATTATTTGCCATGACGTATGGGAGCATGTATTACATTTTCTTGCTCATGCATTTTGTAATGTTTTATGTATGTTTTCCTCTATTTTGTTGTTGTCCGCAGCTTGCAATAACTGTAGGGAATGAAGATTTTAATGAGGTTTATGAAGCGACATTAGAAGGAAACAAGCCCACGCACACCAGCTCCATGTAAGTCAAACTCTTCTCCCCAGCAGGTTGCAGTGCGATGAGGTTTAGGAGAAGCAGAGTTGAGCGATAGATTTGATTTTTATTACCTTTGAACATCTCAATATATGTCACATGTATGATATCTGGCGTATTTATTATATGATAGGAGAAAAGGAAAGCATGTTGAATATGTTTCTTTCCTATTTCCTTCCTGCCATCAAAACTGAATATTATCTTTGTAGAAATTGCAGGAGTGGCATTAGTAAGGGAAAGCTATAAGAATTTTTTTTACAATCAGAAATTGAGTGACAATATGAATTTTTTTAAAATGTACAATGCTCGGAAATGTGCTGCCGTCCCCCCCCCCCCCACGACACCTTATTGACCATTGACCTTTGACCTGCAGGGACACTAGGAAAGAGTTTATCAGGGCAAAGTATGAGAAGAAGAAATTTGTCCTGAAGACAGCGGCGCAACCCAGTCAGCTTCTGTTTGACCTTCGGCAGGCTGTGCTCCTCTCTGAGATCATCCAGGTCTTACGGGTCTTTGCGGAAGGGGTCGATCTTGTTGCACCTCTTCCAAATGTGGTGAGTTACTTGGTTGTTTTGTGGTTTGTGTGACTGTATTCTATCCAGGATGCTGATTTGGAGTCGGTGTCCTTGAGGCAGAATAGCCCTGTTATAAATCTGCTATTCAATTAAGACTGCTACCACAACTTCTATATCTATATCTGCTCGTTCTCTACCACAAATACTTTCCCACCCCTTACCACTACCCCTTCCCTAATTCTACACTTCCAGTACTCCTACCACGCCCACTTAAAGTAATTTAATGACTTTCACGACTCGCATGGTCAAGGGTGTCATCCTCCGGATGGCTCTTTCAAAAATAGTTCGTTATGAAGGAGTTGATTGTCTGGTTGAATTTAATATTACTGGGATTCTAGATTACCATGGTCTTTGCTGAGAATGGAGACAAATTTGGACCTCATCCGAGCCTGATAAGTTACTTTGTTTCTGACTAGCGTGTGGTTTTTATTATAACTGCATATGATGTCCTGAAAGCAGTGAGTGGCCCTCAAGTGTATTCAGAAGTCATATCTTAGGGAATATGTAGTCTAGCCTTTATGTTGGAAAAGAAAGGATTGGAGGGTAGTGAATGTTTGAATAGACTGTATTATATTCAAATACATGATTAGTTTAGTCTGAACATTCATGAAACATCTTTTAACTTGTCATACATGCTGAATCTATTCTATTTCATGTGTTCCCTACATATACCATCCAGGCTGGTAATAAGACAGCCTTACATCTAGCGGTCGAACAGCAGGACGATGTCAACCTCCACATCGTAGACTTCATCATCCAGAATACGACCGTCGCTGACCAGCAGATGACTGATGGTAACACCGCCCTCCACCTGGCTGCAAAGTATGACAAGGTGGAATGCGTCAAGCTACTGCTACGAGGAAGTGCCAATATAGAAATATGTGAGAGATGCCGCACCTGCTTAACACTCTTCATACATGTAGCTCTCAACCAATCCTATTTTAAAGGAGTGATATAGCCTGATAATTTCCTGATTTAAATCAGTTTCCTGATTATTTTTTGTGTTTGTGGATTTTTTGTGGATTTATTCCCTCCAAAAATGGATAGTAAAACCTTTATTCTTTTTTTTAAACTCTCACTAAAACCCCTGAGTGATTCCCCTCCCCCTATTTTTTGGCCTTCAGAATAATGTTAGAAACCCTAGATTCCTTCCTTTTTTTGAAATCTTCCTCATTTTGCCTTGAAAGATTCCCTACTGTATATTTGCTGTAAAAGGTTGGCAGGTATGAGTCTGGTGTAAAGTGCCTTGTATATCTATTTGGGTGTCCAGGTTGTTCCAAAAAACTCAGGAAAAGGAGTGTTTACAGACAAACTTGCTGTCTGTAAAATGTTTAGTTAAAAATGAAACTGAAAAACTGACAGGCATTTGCTTGAAAATTTTTCTCCAAACCCGGTTGGATAAATGGGTACTTTGTAGAAAAAATAATAATTAAATGCTTTGAGCAGTGTGAATATTTCACCAATACTGAAATGATAGTGGAGCAGCATTACCCTTCTTGTGTGGCAGAGATATATTGTACAAGTAGCCAGCAGTGAATCATTCTTAACTAAAGGTTATGCCAACAAAAGTAGAGAAATTAAAACAGAATAATTTTTTTTGTTTTATCCCATATTAAATCACCATTTGCTTTGCTTTGCTTTGAACTGCAGTAAATAAAGCAAAGGAGACGGCTTTAGACATCGCTATAAAATGTGGCAACAATCAGTGTGAGGACGTGCTGCGTTCTGCTACGTCAGGCAAGGTCACACAGTGTGAACATGTTGAGTTCTGCTGGGGCATGATGGGTAACGAGGATGGAGTAGACTTCAGCGATGATGATCTTGACGATCGGGAAAAAAAGCCATTGCAGGTTTGAGAAATGAGTTGTTATTTCTGTTTAATTACCATATCAATAAAAAAAAAACAAGACTCTGCATTTTAGCTTTGTATTCCGTATGTGGCAGATGGACTGACAGTCAGCATATATGATGTATCTCCTGTATTAATAGTACATGTAAAAGTGCATGGGGCATTTAAAAAAAAGAACAAAAGTACTGTTTTACATGTGTGTGTTGGAAGTGATTTAGATGAACTCATTCAAAGTATGGAAAATGTGCAAAATCTTATTTTGGAGAAAACATTGGGTGAGCAAAGCATCTTCTTGGGGGGAACAAAACGAAGACATCCTAGTAGACCCAAGGAACCCTCTCCTGAAAAGTGGTAACAATGTCCATGAGACTGACTGGTCAGTTTCCTTGTCCGACGGTCGCATGAACTCTGTGATGAATTGTCACAAGGCTCACGTCGGTCTCGTAGGCTGTAGCCCCAAAGGAGTACTTTTACCACTGTTTTCTTTTTCTTGTTTTTTTTACCTCACAGAGTCCGAGAAGACCAAACAGCAGACCACAGACGTTGCCAAACTCACCTGTTAGCACGTTGCCTAGATCATCACGGGATCGCTTCTCCGATATGCTGATGGCAAACGTCAACAAAGGGGACCATAGCACCTCAGATAAACTCAAAATGCCGCCCCCACCTATCCCGCCAAGGAGAAGTGAGTATAGCAATCATAGCGGGGGAAAGCACGTCATTTAGATTATTTATAAAAAAAAAAGGATTATTATGGATTATGTAGAGATAATTTTTTGATTCTCGAAGAAACACCAAATTCATGAAGATTCTTACATTCATGTGTATGTGATTCAGCCCCTATTGGAAGTAAATATGTTTGTTGTAAGGACAGATGTATCTTTGGCCAGTATTCTACTAATTCAGTCAAATCTGAGATCATGTTTAACAGAGGTAAACTTTGACCTCGGACTAACTTCCTCTGGTAAAACCGATTTTGAACAAAAGCTTAAGCCCAGCATTGGGTTAACATTTTAAAAGCATACAGGTCTTTATGCTTCAAGAACCAACCCTTGTTATGCTTTTAAGGAATTGAGGACTAAGAGCTTTCATTGATTTATGGAAATATGATTCTAGTTATTGTTTATCTTTACATTTAATGCTAAGTCTGTACCTGTTTTGTGTTAAGAGCAGATCAGGCTTGTGCTTTGAAGATCCACTGCAAATCACAAAACATTGCCATCTGCTCTTTTGTTTTTGTTTTTTATTTTAACAAATGTAAATATTTTGTTGCTGCTCATGATAATCATATAACTAAATAAACATAACATGTTTTTTCTCAAGCCTCTTGCTGCTGTAAACGCATTTCATACTTCTTCATGTCCAGCTTTATTTGCTTTTACTATCACAAATGCACTATTTGCACTTTCAAAAGTATGGAGTAATGTATTACAAAAAATGCTTTGCAATGGAATCCATTTTGTATGAAGGAACAGTGTGATACAAAAGAGTGAACATATTTTCACAATTTGAAGAAAAAATGTATCTGAAATGATACTTAAACTATCTCACTTCAAGTTGAACTGATTGTTTACCCCCCCCCCCCCAACAAAAGAAATAAAAATGCTAGAACAGTTTGAAATATTTACATAAAGAAATTGATACTATTGTTTGTAATTTATCCAGACTCAATTGATTTGTTTTGATTGTTTTGTTGATATATTAACATTTTTGTATAGACATATGAGTAGATTACTACAGGGAAGTTCAGCCCTTTTAAAGGTTACTTTGGACCAAGACACACCCTTCTTTAATGTAAATCTTTGCCCATAACTCTTTCCAACCTCTATTTATAGGGAAGTTTGAATGAAAGTTTGTGCTCTAGTGATGTACATGTATCTTCTTCCTGTATACATCCAGAATTAGCGATTATTGCTGGTTTTAATGTTGATTTTAAAGCCTTTGTAAGATGTCCAGAATGATTTTGGTGAAATTTTGTTTTTTCTCAGTGATGTTTTGTCTTCCGTTTGGTCATCACCATCATTGGTCTTACTCTGGTATGATTTCTGCTGCTGCTATGCAAGGCATTCACGTTATCTTGCTCCCTTTAGTTAGACTGAAAGTGAACCAATTGAGCTTGCTCCTTCTACTTGTAGTTAGCTTGAGAATGAACCAACTTTCCTATAGAGGGTGAGAGTTAAGTGTATATTAAGCAGAGCCTTCTTATACATGGTATTTGGCTTCTCACTCTCACAGTAAGGTATTATGATAAACTCAGTGGATCAAACAGTACACCATCCAATAACAGCCAAAAGGGCATTGAATGTGCATTAATAAAATGGGAACTTATGTCCTTTAAGCTTTCAGCATGCGATATCATTTGATTGGCCAAACTCTGTTACTGTAGGAAGTTCTATGTTTTGTTGAACCTGTGGAGTTTATAACCTGCCAGTATCCCCCTTTAGAATAATTAAATCATTTTTGTAATAAGTCCCAGAGCCTTCTTTTCACAGAGTTTGGCCAACCTAACTGTAGATACTTTTGTGTTGCCTCACTGGAACCAGATAGGCAACACAATGTATGTAAGGCTCTGGTGTAAAGCACAGGTCTCTTGTATCAAAGGTTCTAACTACTTTCTTTAGACCAATGCACTAATACAAATAGGAGGCCCCAGATGTGACACAAAATACACTTATATCAGGGCTCCACATTAACTTGTTACACATGGGGTCCTTAATTTTGAGTCTAGAGTGAAAATTGTTGGGGCCTTTAATCCTGCATGATTAATCCCATTGGTTCACTTTCAATTCTAGCATTTTTTCCCCCTACTTTAGTTGCCTTGTTTGCTTGATTTAGTTTGCCTATGATTTTGTTCTGCTGTTTCAAACCACCAAATTTATTGTCATTGGCCTATTTCTTTCTCAAACCAACCTGCCATAAATCAGAATAGCTTTTGGGTCCTCTTGCATATCAAAAGTTGTGATAAAATGCAGCTAAATGAATCACTGATACATGCAACTTAGATTTCCACCAATCAGGATCACGCATTTTGGAGGTGCATTTTTTGGTTAGTTGGGTTAAAGTGCAGCCTGTTATGCAAAAGTATGAAATATGAGATTTCCAACATTTTCCTTTGAAGTAGTAAGTGATTACAACATCTAGCTTGGGAACGGAATATGTATTTTAAAAGGGCTGGAAAAATGTGCTTCAGTGGCGATTTTCACTGAAAAGATTTTTATCTAATACCAAGAGACTGCATTTACACCTGTGTAGAAAGGCCATGTACATGTACAATTAGGACTTGTTGAGCATGTATCCAATAGTTGGTCTGTGTGCAAAGATTGGGCTTGACAAATTGATTAGCTCCCATTTATTTTGCCATTACTGTTTACTTGTTGAATACTATGTTGGGGGGATATCTTGGGCTGGGTTGTTTGTAGGAAAATAATTATGTACTTCCCCCATACTCCCTCCCACCCCCCCCCCCCACCCCCAAAAAAAGAAAAGAAGAAATAAACATCATAATCCAAGGGGCTGTGAATTGTCATGACTGATATTTTTGGAGTTCATTTGGGAATGAAAAGATATAGAGGATGATCAATGATTCTTCAGTTTAGTTTCATTGATTTGCAAGGGCATTATAAATTCTGAGTCAGAAATATTATGTTTAGTATTTTTTGTTCAATTTGTAGTCGGTGTCTCTTCGTTTAAGTAGGGGATTGTTTAAATGATTCTAGGGAAATAGGGAAGTGGAAAGAAAGATTTGTTGTTGTTGTCCTTTTATGTGTATATCTGACTGGATGGAAGAGAGAATGGCAGAAGGGGTTAAGACCATTTTAATTATTAATGACCTTTTGAAACTTAGAATTTTTGTTTTTCTTTGCATCCATGCCTGCATGTTGCATGTCTTGTTCCTTTCACCTTGATGATTGAAGTAGGACTGGATAAAAAAAAAATTTGTTCAAGTTTCCAAGTTACCAATAAATCACAGAATATTTATCAATGTGTAGTTTTCAATTTCCATGTGTAAATTTTAGGGAAAGAAGATTCACTTTAAAAGTGCTTTGCATTTCATCGATTTTTCTTCCCTTTCTGACCTTTGCATGAACTTAAAACACAAATCATGGATCTAGTAACTGCAGGAAATAGTAAGATTTGATAAATTAGAGTCACATTTAGTCTTCAATTTTAGGAATAGAGTTTAATTATTTGCCATCACATCAATATAGTATCATGAGTAGTACCCTGTATTCAAGGATTAAATTAGCTTGATTTTGATCCCCTCAGACCCCCCCCCCCCCGACAAACAAACAAAACAAAACACGCACACCAAAAAAACAAACTAACACTTTAAAGCCATTCAATTTATCTTATAGATAAAAATGATCCTTAATGTTTTGGATTTTTAATCAATAAAACTGAAATTTATTTGTGATAAGAGAGTCCCATGTACTCTTTAAGTCGTAGGAAGCAATAAGCCCTACTCTGACCATTTCTTGTTAATTACCCTGAAAAAATGAGAGGGGGAAATTCCCTTTCTTATGTCGCATGCAAATGTGCAGTGTATGTTTTGCATGTGATCTGTTTCTGTGGGTGTTCAGATTGTCTTGTTTAGGGAAGTGCATTGTGAATCTACATTCCCCTGAAACAGGAACCCACTTGTGTTTAGATGCATCTGATGACTATTTTCCTAGGAGAATTATTCTCTGAAATGTTTTTATTGAAGTAATGTAGTAAATTCTAAAGCTTTCAGTTACATACACTTGTCTATTTGATAAAATTGTTGTACTTGCGTTAATTGTAAGTTGTCGTTTTTTTTTTTTTTAACAGTGAAAATCAGAAAGGGCTTATTTTCCCTGTCCTATAGGAAGGTGCTAATATACAGTTGCCATCATTAAATCATTTATTTCATTCATGTAATTCATTAAAAATATTTATATATATATATTGATTTGGTTGGTAGGACTACAGTGTACCAACAATTTTGTGCCTGTTATGTTTTGATGCTGAGCTTTGATCGACCTAATTTCTAGTGATCTTGATTTCATTGACATTGCTGCCTTTTTATTGCTACTTAAAGCCATTACAGATGAAACATCTGGTGCCCCTATTCAATTCAGTATGTGGATTAAGCAAGCATTTTACTTTCACAAGCCAACTTTAATGCAAATTACTGATTTAGCATCCAGACGTCACATGGTCAATTTAAAAAAAAAGATTCAATTAATGCGTCACACTAAATATGGCTAATATAATTGTGCCCAACTTAAGATGACTGCGTATGAAAACCATAAGCCTGCCAATCAATGCTTCCAAAATAATTGGATTAAGACTGCTAGGGAGCTTTCTTAAATTTAGGGTAAGATACTTAGCCAGAAGCATCCAATGAATACTGAAGTTGGCTAAGTATTTTATCTAAGCTGAACACCGAGTAAAATACTCATATTTCTGACTTAGGTATTGAATTGAATATCGGCCCAGACTTGCTGTGACTATATCATGCTCTCGCAGAGTTTCTTTGCAAGCCCATTTCACTGGCAGAAATTATTCAAGCTTTGCATTCATGTGCCATTATGTTTTGTTTTTTTTCCTCAAAAAATTTCTTTTTGTGTTTGCCACGCGAAGGGAGCCATAGGAGGGGCAGGAGAGGTGAAGCGCTTATTTCAGTTCAATCTGCATGGTTTCATACCTGTTTTCTATGTCCATGTCTCGTGTATGATTTTGAATTGTTGAAATATCTTATGATTTCAGGCATGAAAGTTTATTGTTTTTTAGCATAGATACAGGTCTAACATCTTAGTTGGTCTTAAACAGAACTAGTTTATTGTACATCCCTTACCTTCCCACCTTTACTCACAAACAATTTGTATGCTAACTTCAGTTGATTAGTGTTTCACCAGTAAAGATATACCCCTTCCCCCGTTCCTACCTGTTATACATGTACATGTACATGTACCCTTTCATATGGTTTTAAACACACACCGTTCATGGATTATTTTTTCTCCTTTTTTTTCCATTCATGTTTTCCAAATTTTAAGTCAGCAGTTGGGTATTTTCCTTATTTTATTGTCATTCTAAGATTTATTTTGTTAAGATTTGTTCAAAGTAGTTATATCCGTACCCCCAGAGATACACACTGATGATGTAAGGGTCAGCGTTATTTAAAAAAATTTCATTCTGTTTAGTAATATTTTGTTCACATTTTCTTCTTTTTTGATTTTGGAAACTTGGTAATTCCTTTTTAGTGTGAAACATGCATGCTAGCAATCCTCTTAGTATTTTTTTCTGAGGGAATTAAATGGTACGTTGATGATTACATTGACGTGTATGTTATTTTAGGGGTAGTGTCGAGAATTTTTCGTTTGTAATTGTTAAAAAAATCATAGACCTTCAAGACCCTTGACATAGCCGAGTTAACCTCGATATGAACGTTTTTCTTCTTATATCTGAGTTTGCATGTATCTGTTTTTGGTAGTACTGAGCATAAGGGTTGTATGGGGATATTGATTTGGGTTAGTACTAGCATCTTTTTAAGAGCAAGGTTTATTAGTATTTGGCCTACATATGTATCACTTTTGTACGTGTATTTTCAATAACAGACTTTTGATAGATCAATACTTAAATGCCAAGAATACTGGGACTTCATATTCCTTTTCTCTGTTAACTTATTTAGACAGTCCATCTGGTTTATTTGTCTAGATGACTAAGATTTGAACTCTTCACTTGCTTTGGGTTCATGAGTATTGATAAAGCATTCTAGAATAGAATACAATTGATCCCATCCTTCTTCAATGAGAAAGTATAGTATATTTTATTGATTTAGAGCAACAATCATAACATAAACATTCAATCAGGGTTGGTTATAGGTATTGTAGATATCGTCTAAAATATGAACATACTTACCAACCACATGGCAAACATTTGCCTAATAATACTCGACCAAAGTATTACATTTCAGTCTATGTCATAGCATTTCCTTCTGTTCAAAGGAGTGGCAATGTAAGAAAATGACTTACGGCTATATGTATACAAATATTCACATCTGTCTAAGATACATGTACGAGAAGATGTACTCGGTAGTCAAGAAGAATACATGCATTTACATGTAGGCTCTCGTAAAATAAAGTCTCAGTGAACATACCAACATAAATAAACTACAAAATGTAGGAGCACTTTTAATACCCATAGTTTAGAGTAGATGTATGTCAGAAAATCAGGTTTAATGTTTGATAACATTGACCATGCATGCATCTTGACTTGATTTAAGTGCTTCAGTGTCATTGTTTTGTCAGTAACTGCTAGATGATGAGTTATGATATAAATGAATTTTTTATGCGTGAGGGCATTTTTTTTACCCTTCTATGTTGAAATCAATGCATGCTGCATCTTTTCCCCTCTCCCTTATTCCCATACCCTGAGGTACATGAGTTCCCACTCGGCCCTTTCCCCCTCCCCCTTATTCCCACACCCTGAGGTACATGAGTCCTCACTCGGCCCTTTCCCCCTCCCCCTTATTCCCACACCCTGAGGTACATGAGTCCCCACTCGGCCCTTTCCCCCTCCCCCTTATTCCCACACCCTGAGGTACATGAGTCCCCACTCAGCCCTTCCCCTCCCCCTTATTCCCGCACCCTGAGGTACATGAGTCCTCACTCGGCCCTTTCCCCCTCCCCCTTATTCCCACACCCTGAGGTACATGAGTCCTCACTCGGCCCTTTCCCCCTCCCCCTTATTCCCACACCCTGAGGTACATGAGTCCCCACTCGGCCCTTTCCCCCTCCCCTTATTCCCACACCCTGAGGTACATGAGTCCCCACTCAGCCCTTCCCCTCCCCCTTATTCCCGCACCCTGAGGTACATGAGTCCTCACTCGGCCCTTTCCCCCTCCCCCTTATTCCCACACCCTGAGGTACATGAGTCCTCACTCGGCCCTTTCCCCCTCCCCCTTATTCCCACACCCTGAGGTACATGAGTCCCCACTCGGCCCTTTCCCCCTCCCCCTTATTCCCACACCCTGAGGTACATGAGTCCTCACTCGGCCCTTTCCCCCTCCCCCTTATTCCCACACCCTGAGGTACATGAGTCCCCACTCGGCCCTTTCCCCCTCCCCCTTATTCCCACACCCTGAGGTACATGAGTCCCCACTCAGCCCTTCCCCTCCCCCTTATTCCCGCACCCTGAGGTACATGAGTCCTCACTCGGCCCTTTCCCCCTCCCCCTTATTCCCAAACCCTGAGGTACATGAGTCCTCACTCGGCCCTTTCTCCCTCCCCCTTATTCCCACACCCTGAGGTACATGAGTCCTCACTCGGCCCTTTCCCCCTCCCCCTTATTCCCACACCCTGAGGTACATGATTCCCCACTCGGCCCTTTCTCCCTCCCCCTTATTCCCACACCCTGAGGTACATGAGTCCTCACTCGGCCCTTTCTCCCTCCCCCTTATTCCCACACCCTGAGGTACATGAGTCCTCACTCGGCCCTTTCCCCTTATTCCCACACCCTGAGGTACACGAGTCCCCACTCGGCCCTTTCCCCCTCCCCCTTATTCCTACTCCCTGAGGTACATGAGTTCCCACTCGGCCCTTTCCCCCTCCCCCTTATTCCCACACCCTGAGGTACATGAGTTCCCACTCGGCCCTTTCCCCCTCCCCCTTATTCCCACACCCTGAGGTACATGAGTTCCCACTCGGCTCTTTCCCCCTCCCCCTTATTCCCACTCCCTGAGGTACATGAGTTCCCACTCGGCCCTTTCCCCCTCCCCCTTATTCCCACACCCTGAGGTATATGATTCCCCAGACGGCCCTTTCTCCCTCCCCCTTATTCCCACACCCTGGGGTATATGAGTCCCCACTCGGCCCTTTCTCCCTCCCCCTTATTCCCACACCCTGAGGTACATGAGTCCCCAATCAGCCCTTTCCCCCTCATCCTAAAATAGTTCAGTCTCACCCATTAACCCCCATCCCTCCATGAGTTTAATCTGAATATTCTTTAACATGTCATAATGATTATTTTGGTAACAGAATCCATGATTTGAGTCATGTAATAATTTGGTCTTATTCATTCATACTCATCCCAATATCATTGTTCTTTTCTCCCCTCCCCCTCTCTTTTCAATTACCTCTCCCATTTTTATCTTCTGTTCTTTTGTTATTTGTGGTGATTTGTTGTAACAATCTACATCATTCCTTTCCGTCTAACATGTATCTCAAATGCTACGCTGTTCCTCAAATCTCCAATCTCTTGTTCACTCCTACATTTTCTGCACTGAAAAAACTCTTTCATTAATGACTTTTATTTACATTTCATCTATCTTGGTACTGCCATTCATTTCCTAACATTGGATAAACCATCAATAAACATTACTCTATATTCCTATACCTTCCTTCATTCTTTTTTCATCCGTATCAATTAACCTTCCTTATCCATTTTAACTTCTTCCGTTCTTCTTTCTTCCTTTACCTCGTTTCTTTTCGATTATTTCCTTCTATCTTTGTATCCAATGTTCATTTACTATCTTAACTCTGTCCATGTTTTATGTTTGACATGTCATTTCTAAACCCCCTTTCAAAATATATCTATATCTATTTTCCCAAACTATACTATACCCCCATACCCATACCTTCTCCACCCCACCCCTACCCCACCCCACCCCTACCCCACTCCCCCCTACCCCACTCCCCCCTACCCCACCCCCCTCCCCATCTATTACCCTTCTCTCCCACTCCTTCCCCTTCACATATGTGTTCTTACCTTCATCTCCCCATTCATTTGTGGTCATTCATAAATGTATGTGTGTGTGCGTGTATAATACAGCGGCGAGTGTCAAGAAAAAAGCGCCCCCTCCCCCCGTGGATTTGGGCCACAAGAGAACTTCGTCCGACCCTCATGCTTTCAATAGCACACCCCCTAAGCCACCTGAAAGGATCACGTCCATACGCGACCAGGGTACGTCAACCAGATTATTTCACTCTCTACTTTTTATGCATGAGTATTCTGCACTCACGATTGTGCGTGTTGTCTTTTGGCATCTTGTGTTGTGATCATGAAAAAGTGCACGAGAAGAAAATTTGCAGAAGATTTGGAACCAGCATTAGCTGCTGAGCTAGGTAGCCTTTGAAAAGAGCCTTTCTACTTTGATAGAAAGGGCTACGGTACTCACAATGCATGGTCTGTGCTGATAGTAAGAAGCAAAGCTGTGAGTTCATTTGTATATTTTAACCAAAGTCTCTTTATTGATGAGCAAACTTGCTAACTGGGAGGTGGCAGAAAATGTCTGAATATAAGGGATGTATGAGATACTGTAAGACCTACTTCCAGAAACTTTCACGACCTGACACTGTCGGGAATCCTTCAGGATGACCATTTTCACATCAACACACTTATGTAAAATGCAAGAAGTTTAGTGTTGTGTCAATTGTGATTCAGATTTTACAGCATGAAACTTTAGCAAATCTGAACCACTCGCAAAGTGAGAACATTTCATGTGCGCGAACATTTCTGGTTTTATAGTAGGAAAGCTTACGCTCTGGAGTCTGCAAGCTCAGAACACCCTCGGTCTACCATTGGAGTACCTAAGCAGGGGGGTGTTTCACAAATATCCTAAGCTGAACTTATCCATGAGTTGGACTTAACAATTATGGAAAGCCATTAGCATCCTTGAAAATGTTTTGTAAAAGTTATTTTAAAAGGCATTAAATGTTGATTCAAATCATTCATGGGAGATTTCATGTTTTTCAAGTGGAATTTATGAAAAGTCGAAAAATACTTGATTTTTTTCTTTTGAATATATCTCATTGTAAGGCTACAAATGGCTCTCCATAATATTTAAGTCTAAATTTAATAGAGTTAAGTTTTACTCAGAATCTTTGTGAAACACCCCCCAGGCATTGTTAAAAGCTATCGCCGAGAGGGGGAGGGGAAGGGGGTATCAGGTCTGTTGCATAACTACTTGAGAGAGATAGTTAGGCCATCGGAAGTTGCTTCTGATTTATTAGTCGGTCATTTCATTAAGCTCCAAGTAGTTCCCTCACATAAAGATTGTACGTGTAGTGGGAGGGAGCTATTTGGAGCAACATGATTTACTGCAAAAGCATAGATGTGCATGTGTCACAACTATCGCTTTCAATACGCTATTGTCTCTTGGCTTGTGGGGAGTGGTTTGCTGTCCTAACAAAAACATGCATGATGTGTTTAGTGTTTAGTGTGTAGTGGAAGCAGTGTGTCTAAAATAGATTTGTTTGATTGTGACATCATTAATTTACTTTTTAAGGCTAAACAGATGCTCTTTTAAATGAAAAAGACGAAATGATAAAAAGAAAAAAAAAAAAAATGTAGCATAATAACAAATAAAAAAAATCCCATGCATTTGTTTTGACCTTTTAAAAAGATTTTGTATTTCTTTACATTTTGCTGTTGATTGCTCTTATTCATGTAGCATGTAGGTATGTTTCTGTAGAATCCTAAATGCTGCACGCAACATTCTGGCATGATCATAAAAGGAGTCATTATTCAATTTAGAATATCAGATCAATGTTTAGTATTAAAAAAGTGATGAAAGTAGTGTTTTCAATAAGTATATCAAATTATGTTTCTACCACAGGAAGGAAAAAATCGTAAAATTGTAAACATTGTATTGAATTAGAGGAATAGTTTTGAAGAAATGTCATACCTTTGTGAATTTCCATATAATCTTATTTCCCTTTTATCTTTTGGATTTATTTACAAACATATAATCTAAATTTTATTAGAGTACCTTTAATCAGGCTATTATTTCTTATGGATTGTTTTTGTAAATCATATCCTGTTTTGGATTGTGTGTGAGACCATTGGAAAGATTTTACAACACAAATTTAATCAAATTGAGTGCATGTGAAAAAGAATTTTAATTATATGCACATAGCTAATAAATTCATGCATGAGCTATTTTGAGAAACACAGATCAATTAGCATGCTGATCCAAAAGAAAAGAATTATAAAAAAAGATGTTTTGAAAAGTAACTTGATAATTCAAGTACATGTTAGAGTAGTGAGAGTAGAAAAAATGTGCTAGACAGGACTAGAACAGTATCATGTGATCTTGAACTTATATACATGTAGAGGCATATTATTTTTTGGGGTGTATTTATTCATATTTATGAGCATATGGGTTTGCATTTTAAAATTTTCAGCGCAAAGTTCATAAAATTAATTTAAAAGATGAATCATTAGCAAGACACTTTGACTATACCTCATTATTTGAATATTGTGATAAATGGAGATGTTGCTATATTAGTCATTTCACATTACAAATAGAGGCAGAAAAGCCTTAAATGAAAAATGAAAAGGATTTTGTGTTAACTAATGATAGACTAATAAATCTAATTATTCTCAATACTCCAGTATTAGATGATAATTTCCAAGGTTTAAGTTGTAAATTAAGTCATTTGAGTTTTAGCACTGAAATGCATTATGAGAACAATATTTTCACAAGATATCATATTACAGGGAAAAGGGGGGGGGGGGGGAGGGTTGGCTCATCTGAGTACATGTATTTTGAAATTACCTATCTTCAGGTATTAAGTTAAGTGGTTCAAAATTGTCGAGTTCTTTATAGCGAACTGTAAGTCTTTGTTTTGTTTGTTGAAAATTGCACATGATCAGTAATACTTCTTTTTGCAAATTCAAAGAGTTGACCCTAATTCATAGCATTTTGTTCTTGTAAGGTATTGTGTGGCTATTGTGTCTTATCATTGTGATGCATGGGGTATGTAGAATTAGAATTCTCCATAGCTGATGTGTGATTGTCGTGGGATATTGTATGTTGGGATTGATGTGATAAAGACTGAATTCACAAGTAAAGGTAATACAAAGTTTTGGAAAATTTCGAAAATGGGGGCGGATAGTGATTCTTTACAAATTTGATATATTTGGATGCCCCTGTGGATGTATTATAAGCACTAGAAAATTTAGCCCCTAAAACGCTTCTGGTTTCGAAATAAATTGAATATACAAATTTACCGGTGCTCCTGGTAAATTAAAAAAAAATTTAAATAGCGCCTACGGCTGTACAATGGTAGCTGCATCCATGAAAATCTCAGAATATGTAGTTGTGATATATAGTTTCCAAATGGAAATAGCTTATCGGTTGATATTAGTCATGAAACATTGTTTTATAGCTTAATTAATATCTTGACCTTGAGAGGGAGCTATACAACATAAAGAGTTTATTATTTACAATTTCATAACTTTAGACTCGATTTCAACTGCGACAACGATCACTTAATATTGTTGGATGGCATATGCTTCCAATATTTTCATTTCAACCAAATTCATGACCCCATACCAAAACTTTGTATTACCTTTAAGGGTAAGTTGTGACATGCTAGCTTGTGTGGAGAATCATCATTAGGAATGTCTTTTAGTCTATCAAACCTGCATAAAATATATATCTTGATTTTGCATATTGCATTTTAATGTGCTTCCAAAGTGCTTTGAAAATGATTAAGTAAGCTCACCAATTATTACATGAGCAAACCTGCCAGGTACTCAATTAAGACCCGGATCTTGAGTGGCAAAAGTAGATGTTATGTTTTTGATTTGATTTGATTTGATCTTCTTCTGCATTCATGTAAGTACACAGTTTTTCGATAACAATAATAATATAAAGTACAATAAGTATTTTTCTGACATTGAATCATAAAAGAGCGAATATATATATATATATATGAAAATTGTTATTTTCAAAAACGAAATGATAGACTGTCATAAATAGTAAATTTCCTCAAACATAAAATTGTTTGCGGAAGAAGGACTGTCATTTTAAGCAGATTGCTTGATAATACGACAGCCCCAGTTTGGTTTCCTTCTAGGTAAGCCTCCTCATGTAAAATATTAGAACAGGGATTAGAATTGATGGATTTGGGTTGCAATTAGATTTAAGATTAGGTTTAGGTTAGGTCGATAGTTAGGGTTAGGTAGTATGTTTTGTGGGGTTCGTGGTTGAATTGTTAAATTTAAAAAGTGCTTGGAATTTGGCCAAAGACCAAAAGTTGATGGAGCATAGTAGTGTTGCGCAATAATAGGAAAGATGTGCTCCAGACTATATTGAATATACAGCTTGAATTGAGGGTTCATTTAAATAACGATAAGTAATTAAAGTCATAACTATTAACCATTAATGACTAGAATTACTGATTGCGCAACACTACTATGCTCCAGCAACATTTGGTCCTTGGCTAAATTCCAAGTACTTTTCAAATTTAACAATTCAACCACAAATTGTTATATAAAATGCTGTAAATGGTTAATTGTTATCTATGGGTAAAGTGTGCTCCCAGCTATATTCAATATTATCGGTAAACTTACATTAAGGGTTATTTAACCTAACTTCTACCATGTCCTTTCCATGGGTGTATTCCACATATTCATTTACGACTGTATCTTGATAAACTGCTTTACTACAGTGCATTGAAATTAGCTCTGAGATTTGGCTATGAAATTGCTTGCTTGGTTGGTCAGTTTTTACCTGACGGCTAGAAAAGCATGTGTATGCTTTTAAGTAAGCCACCAGGGAACCAATGGCTTTATTCCTCACCATGGGATCTTGTAATGAGGATCAATGCCTTACCAGAGGGCACAAGCGCATCACCTTGGTTTTGAAACTTTGAACCTCCCGGTTACGAGACCCCTGCCCTAGCACTGAGCCATCGTGCCTCTTATCATCTGTCTCTGGGCCAACATTTCATCTCATCTGTCATATTATTTTCATTTTTTATGATCTACGTTTATAGCATTCCATCTTTATGTACGTACACTGTACCCTACCATGCCAATTTTAGCGGAAGTACTCATGGTACTTCACCCTCCAAAATATTGCTAATATTTTGCAAATTTCATGACTGTGTACCATCTTCACTAATTCTCTGCATCAAGTAAAACATTTCTAATCCTTTTAAAACTTTCCCCTATAACAATGTATCCATTGTCCAATAACCATCAGTGCTAGGTTTTTGCAGATTTAGTTAACATTTGCAGCAGCAAAATACTTTATTGCACTCACTATAACACCATAGCTATTAAAATGATTCTTGAATTTAGATGTCAATTAATCTTAAATGTCTCTGGTAAATCATGCATTGCCATGTCACTGTTTGTTCTATTGTACATCTTGTATGATCCTCTGTAGATTTCTTGCAACGTTGGTCTTCTTGGATAGATCCATCAGGTTTGATTGTACTCTTTGCTTATCTTGCAGTCAATCTCATGAACTTGTGCTCTCTTTATCATTCATACTGTATGAATAATGGCAATGCCTGCCTAATGCTGCATACTAATGTATTTATAATAAATTGATTACATTCCTGTCATCAGTGCTCGGAGTACGCATAAAGTTTGTTCCTGTGATCTGGCATTGCTCCGTCGACAATTGCTCTCGGCTTTATTTTTATTATCAAAAGTAAAGGATCAGGGTTGGGGTTGCAACTTCTCTTTAGGTTAAGTATACTAGAGTTAATATTAAGGTTAAGATTGGGGGTAAGATATAGAATTTTGTCTACGGTTGAAGTTAGGCATTCAGTTTGTGTAGGAAATTACCATGGAGCGATTGTCACAGGAGCATATGTCCTACAACCATTTGATCCATCTCCATTCTCCGTTCTTCATGGAGCTATCTTCTTATCCAGAGCACAGGCAGATTTATTTCATGTTTTTACTCAGGAGTCGGTGATAATTTTTCCAGTATAAGACATTCAGGAATTTGGGTTTCTTTCACAGTCAAAACTATCTATCCAAATACATTATTAGCTCATGAGGAAGAAAGTATTTGTTGTAGAAATTAAAAATTAAACTAGGCTTGAAATATTGACCATTTCAAAATTCAACTCTTAAGTACTAGCCCATCTTAACCAGAGGTTTCTGTTACAATCAATGTCAGCTGTCCAAGCACGAGATAATAAGGCCAAAATTGTCATTTACAATCAGACCCCTCATTTGAAGAATTAGCAAATCAGGAACAAAGATTTTGTTAGAATAAGTTTCAGCTTTCAAAGTATTTTGTATTACTGGTAGCCAATCTGGAACAAGGGTTTCTGTTACAAACACAGCAATCCAAGTACTTTGTATTAGCCAGTCAGGGACAAAGGTTTCTGTTGCAATCAAACACGACTACCCAATCAGGAGCAAGGGTTTTTGTTGCAATCAAACACAGCTATCCCAGTACTTTGTATTAGCCAATCAGAAATAAAAGTTTATGTTACAATCAGAAATAGCTACCCAACCAGGAACTGAGGTTTCTGTTGCAATCAAACACGGCTACCCAATCAGGAGCAAGGGTTTTTGTTGCAATCAAAAACAGCTATCCCAGTACTTTGTATTAGCCAATCAGAATCAAAAGATTGGCTAACAATCAGACACAGCTGTCCTATCAGTGAGGAACAAAGCTTTAGGTAACTTGTACATCCAAACACAGCTCTCCAAGTCCACTATATTGACCATCAGGAACAATGATTGATGTTAATTTTCAAACATAGCTTTCAAAGTTCACTGTATAAGTTTTTTAGGAGTAAAGGTTTCTGTTACAATTAACCACGCGTATCCAATTTCTCTTTATTAACCAATCAGGAACCGAGATTTTTGTTACAATCAAACACAGCTGTCAATATCCACTGCATTAGTCAATAAGCAGCAAATATTCTGTTGCATTCAAACTCAGCTGTCCAAACATTGGTCAATCAAGATTAAGTATACTTGTGCAAGCACTTTGCTTAAGGTTTTACCATGATGGTAAAGTTATTTGTCACTGTGAGTTTAGATGATTTCAAATCGTCTAATCAGTAGGATTCAGGTACATGTACAAAATGAATTCACCTCTGATAATTTTGTGTTTTCATGCTAAATTTAATTTATTTCTTTTCCCAATCATGGCTCTGTCTTTACCCGCAATGTTATGCAGTACTACTACATAGTATGTTTTAATGAGTAATCAAGTATAAAGCAATATTTTGCATGTATATTATTTTCCAACTTTTTTTTCTTTCGTTTCACATAATGTTTTCTCATTTTTCTTTTTCTTCAAATGAAATGGTTGAATGTATTGATACATGTATGTATGGCTTGTTAAAGATTCATTCAATGATTCAAATGTACTAACTACCCTTTTTATGAACTGTTTCCTTTTTTCATCAGTATTTTTTCTCTCCATCAGTAACACAGCATAATATGTTAAGATTACCTGGTAGGGTCTTTGTTAGAAATCAATATCACTATGTTTATTACTGTATATTGAAGACATCTTGCATTTTTAGCATTTGATATCACAGGTTCATTGACCATTTTAGTACTTAGGCCTACTAATGATCATTAAATGTAAGCAATCATTTTTACCTTTTTGTTTGTTTTTGCATATATTTATTTGCCTCTTTCTAGCAACCTTAGGTACTGAAGTACCAGAAGCAGGTAGAAATACGATTCATTCTTTTGCTTTATTATTTAGGAAAAACAAGTATTGTAACCATCGTGGCATATATTCATTTAAGTATCTGCATTTATTTTCTTCTTTCAAAATATTTCTTGGATTTGTTTGGTACTGGTGAGCAATTAAAAACATTGGTGCTTTCTCTATCATATTAAAAATCAATCTTTGAAGGCTGTGGTGAAATAACCAATCTATATATGCATTATCGGTATTAAGATAAATTTGAACCAATATTTAGTGAAATGTCTGAAGAAAAAAATATATTAGCTTTACATGTACATGTACATTGAGATATTTATCCATTTGCTTTTTTTTTCAAATCTACCCGAGAATAATAGTATAATTTAGAAGAAAGAAAAAAAGCTTTTCATGTACAGTTATAGGTGATCATTTCACTGAAACTTGTGTTTTTCAAGCAATATAATGCATTATTTAGCATCTTCTATTCTTTATTTAGATCTGTAGTGGGATATTTTGAATAGTACATGCGCCTTTGAGTATCTGCTTTATTAAAGCCAACTATGAGCTTACTTCATATGATTACTGGGATGTTTATATGATACAAAATTTACATTTTTATTTTCCTTCGTATTAAGGATATCTGCTAAAATAGTGCATACTTAAATTCTTATATTCATTAGCTGAGCTGGATAGTTGCAATATTTAAAATACATGTACTGGATACTGCAAACTTTTTAAAATTTGTTTCATGCTTATTGAATCAAAGAATTATGGAGTAGCATCTGTAACAATTTGGATATTTTTTAATGCAAGATATGCTGTTGATATCACCTGTAGGTAGAGCTGTTGGTCTTTATTAACATTTCACAACAATTTTTGTTTTGCTCTATGTAGATTGAACAATGTACAATTTCCAAAGTATCTACTTTTCATTGAGCTCATGATTTAAAAAAGAATGACAAACGAATGTTTTTAAGTCTTGCATTGGTTCTGTTCCTGTAGCAGTGATTACCGGTATATATTTAAAAAAAGTTATTTATATATTTTAATTTTTATATTTGCTAAGTTAAGAAATCTTATCATTCATAAAGCAATACATCAGTTAGTAGAGCTCTGTCTGATTCAAAAAAACAAAAGAAATATTTTTTTTTCTTTTTTCAATACAGCCCATGAATATTCATATCACCTAGTACATGAACTTGGTTTTTTATATTTTTTGTTTTCATAAATTTTAAGTTATCATATTGTTATTGGGGTCATGCTTTGGGTAAAAGGTATCATCCAGGAGTTAAACATTGAATATATATATTACTATTTCCATATTTACTGGAACATGATCACAAAGACCTTCAAGAAATCAACTCAAGGCGGTTTTAAAGCCCTATTGTATGTCCCATAGAAATCTCATTAATCTTGCATAAAATATCTTTGCAATGTATGCCCAGTTCAAATGATGATGGACAAGGTTCTTGAAATTTCCTTCGGTTGATATTTTGAAAGTCTTAGAGATTGTGTTATTGCGACAACAATGCAGGCAAAGAAGAGAGTTTTGTGGGTTTGTGAAAATATTTTCCTTCTTGAGATGCATTTCTTGTTATTGTAGCTGTAAACTTAAGTTAACTAACACAAATTTTCCTGTTGATATGATAAGAAGTTATCATGCAGCTTTGTTATTACGGTACCTTGTAGTGCTCTCTGTGCCATTCCAGTTACACTAATATTTTTTCCCAAAAATAAAACCAATATTGAAATAAAACAAAATTAATTTTTTTGGATGCAAGTAGTTCATATGATTATGAGCAGATAATTGCTATTACATGTTGTTTCTGAAATGGGCTAAATGGGATAGTTAATTATTCATGGGTAAACCTTAAAATTGGTTCTTTAATTATTGCTGTTTTCATTAAGTATGATAATGAGATAGTATTAATCAAATCACATGATATGATTTTATTGATGTAAATATTGTGTGGATAGCATATCATATCCATGGCCAGTCAGCCTTAACATTAGGAAAACAAAACACAATACCTGACAAATAGTATATAAAGTAAGTGACATCACTAAATTGAAAAAAGGAAAGACAAACAGAGTGATTTGCTTTTGTTGTTGGTAGTAGGAAGTCCTCCTTGTATGCATTTAAATGAGAGAGAAGTAAGATGCTGATATCTATGCCTTGAAGACATACAAATGCTGCAACTTGTATTTTTGTTTGTAGTTCTGCCAGTGGGTTTTAGAAGACATCATAAGATGTAAAATTTTGCTTGTCAGCAACTTAATGGTGTTGCAGTAGGAGTTCTGCATTTTGCATTTAGATTAAAAAATTATCATTGCTGATGTTCATGCTTTTACAATGAAATTCTGCAAACTTTGCAAACTTGTTTGTTGTTTTCATATAAACTATTGGGTTCATGCCTATATGATTGATGAAGATTAAAAACATTTGAAGAGGGAATTTTGGGGTCTCGCCCCTGCGTTTTGATGGACAGACTGTGCCCAAAAGAAAGCAAAAATGTCCATTGTCCCAGTTTCTCATTGGCCAGTCTAAGTGACTGAAGTGATCATCTAATAGCAGTAGATGGTTGAATATTATATGAATCTTAAGCTTTGCTTTATTTTGAAATAAAGTAGTATTATAAAGGGAAGAGGCTTGTTTGAAAATGTGAAAAGAATCTTGTTTCTTAATTCATGGTAAGTGAATTGTAGCTACTCTCTTGCAAAGTTTAGAGCAGTGTATTTGAGATAAATTGAGGGAGAGGGAGAGGGAGAGAGAGAGAGAGAAAGAAAGAAAGACAAAGACAGAGAGAGAGAGAGAAAGAGAGAGAAAGAGAAAGAGGGATTATATCATGTGAGAAATATGAAATGTAAAGGAAACAACAACCAAATCAATTGTTTTTATTCCCCTTTCTATTTTAATCTTGTGTATACTGTCTTGTACAGTAATTGCAGTTAGCAATACAAGTACATGTTTTTTATATGCAGAATCCTAATGTATGCGTTATGTGGCATCTTACTCTAGTAATGTGTAGATATGTTTCTGTCTTATCTTGCATGCATATAGCAATATGTTTGACTTTCTTTTCATGTTTTTTTACTTCTAGCCAAACCATCAGATTCTACTTCATCCTCATCATCTTCCGCACCGCCTCCAATCCCAAAGTCAAACAGCCAAGTAGAGCAGATGAAACAGTTCCTTGCGTAAGTAGTTCTTCTCCTTCTCCTTCTCCCTTTTCTTCTTCTTTCCTTCTTCTTTTCCTTCTTCTTTTCCTTCTTCTTTTCCTTCTTCTTTTCCTTCTTCTTCTTCTATATGATCTTCTTCATCTTTGTCTTCCTCTCCTCATTTTTCTTCCTCTCCTCATTTTTCTTTCTCTCCTCATTTTTCTTTCTCTCCTCATTTTTCTTTGTCATGATCATCGTCATCTTCTTCTTCACCTCCTCCTTCTCCTTCTCCCTCTCCTTCTCCCTTTTCTTCTTTTTTCCTTCTTCTTCTTCTTTATCTTCTTCTTCCTCTCCTTCTTCTTCTACTTCTTCTACTTCTTCTTCTTCTTCATCTTTGTCTACCTCTCCTCATTTTTCTTCATCATGATCATCGTCATCTTCTTCTTCACATCCTCCTTCTCCTCCTCCTAATCTTTCTTTTTCTTCTTCTTCTTCTTCTTCTTCTTCTTCTTCTTCTTCTTCTTCTTCTTCTTCTTCTTCTTCATCTTTGTCTTCCTCTCCTCATTTTTCTTCATGATGATGATGATCATCTTCTTCTTCTTCACATCCTCCTTCTCCTCCTTATCTTTCTTTTTCTTCCTCTTCTTTATACATTTCTTCATATATTTCTCGTTAATGTATTTCTTATCTTATCCTTTCTCTCCCTTTTACCTTTTTCATTCATTTCTACAGGCAAAGCAATGCAATTTTTTTAAATCTTCTCTGTTCTCCTTTCTTGTACTATGTAGACTTTTCTCTATACTGTTCCATCCTCATCCAGTAGTCTTGTTGAGGCTCATTATTTATTGATCTAATCATTCTTAATCAAGCTAAATTAACTGCAATCATTTATGAAGAGAGAATTAATCTAACCTGTATGCAACTTGAAAAATGTACATTAGAATGAGCAGGGAAGATAATTTAACCTCAACTACATCTAAAGCCCCGGTCACAAATGCCATTACGAACCGCTATGAACGCCGTACGAACGATTTTCAGACAATAGAAATTCGGGAAGAAAAAAACGGAGATTCGGAAGAACGCATCGTCCGTACGAACATTTGTGACCGTAGCTTAAGCATAGATATTCAAGCAAATCAATACTGCCTTGTGAAAATTGAGCCATCATTATGAAATTATTAATATGCATTCATGTACCTATTCATGTTTCATTATAATACATTAGCCTCCAGACAAATTGACTGGTCATGTTACCATGTATAGTTAGGCATACCGGTACCTACAAGTACTTCACATATTATGCATAACAGTTGTGCTTTTAGATAAAATGAATGGCCAATAAACAATAACTATTAAAGCATGTATATATTTAGCATAATAGCTTAGCCTTGAGAAGATGGTAGCTTAGTTCCTTTTTAGTGATTGTATCTCTGTAAATTGGGAAATTTGGGATGTTGGAAAGCCCTATGAACTGATGATGCAATACCCCCATTGTCTTGCAATTGCACCCAGGCATTTAAATGTATTCCGTACTCACAAATACATGTGCCATGTTTGTTCACACACATGTCTATGGATTGTGGAATGTATTCATCTGCATGACATGACATCATAACATGGTATCACCTTTACAAATTTCAGAGGATTTTGATCATTGTCTGTGATGATTTCAATGAAATTATATTTTTTCTTCTAAAATGTCAAACATTTGTACACCTCTCATATTAGGAAGATTTTTTTTTTAAATCGAAAGAAATGTTTATTTAATCAGATTACTTCATTATTTTAATATCTCAAGATCAAATTATGTACTGAATGATTTAGAAGGTCAAAGTTCACCAAATAGTTGTTGCTAAAGGTGATGCTGTAAAGTCAACCCTATCTTCTTGTGGTAGGGTCCATGTTCTAATACATGTACCTATCCTGTTTCCATGACAACGACCCCCTTTCCCCTTGTCATCCTCCCTCCTCCATGTATCAACAAACAGCTGGGAAAATAGACGAGCTTCATACTCCCACTCCTATGGCCGCTGGTAATCACTGCATCTGTATTTGAGCTTCTGTCTTGCACGGAGACTGTAATTGTTGCCAATTGCAGAATTATGCTTTTTTTCTTTCTTTTTTCTTAAAAAGAAAATACTTCAAAAGCTTTGAAATATGATTTTGCCTCAGAGACTTTTGATTTGTTTAAAGCCTAATTTTTTTTGCACAGTGTGAAGCAGTGAGGGAATGTTCAATGATGCCAATGATTGACAATTGCAAGATTTTGCTATTGTCGGGAGTTATATCAGAACAACTAATAGTGTGACTATCATAAATTGTACATGTATATCGTTTAAGACAGATTACATGTAAAAAGTTATACCGAGTTCCCATCTTTCTTTATAGCTATACAATATGGCAAGTCTACTTTTACATGTGTGCTTTCAAACTTTTTTTGACATCATTTTTTTTTCCAGCCTTGTAGTGCATGTGCATGTGACTTTCCTTTGAGCAAAACCAGTACAAAATGGCAGTTGATCGTCACACATTTCATTTCAGTTTTATAGTACTATTCTGACCTTAGTTCACTGGGATATATATTGTCTGCTCAGATTATGTAACCATCCTGTTTGTTTTTTAGGCGTTACCTACGACTGAATCATGTTTAAGTCAAACTTTCCATAAGTCATTCGAAAGAGACAACAGTTTATGAATACACTGACGTGAAATATACATGTACATTGATATTTTGAATAATTGAGATGACAAAAAAAGAAAAAAATAATGTTAAACTCTTTATCAATTGTCATCTGCAAAAATATGACCAAATGAGACAAGGTCAATATGAACATTCCTGAGAAAAATAATTGTTACAAAACCTGTACTGCTGTATGCTAAAAGTTTAAAAAGTGAAAAAAATTATTTCTTTTGTTTCAGTTTTGTCTCTCTTGTAATTCTTTTCTAAAGTCTTAGCACCTCATTACACTTTTCACAGGCCAAATACTTTTGTTTCTGAATCGCTCTTTTTATTTGTTGCATTTTGACAGCAACCAAGTTTTCCACTACCTGTTGAAATGTTGATTAAATCAGCATTTTACTTAGCATTTTATTTGCCTAAGTAATATGTCTTGGCTCTTATTTCAGATCACATCTAAGCATTAATTTTTTAGCAAGCCGACTTTTAAAGGTAATACAAAGTTTTGGTATGGGGTCATGAATTCAGTTCAAATGAACATATTGGAAGCATATGCGATCCTACAGTAATCAGTGATCGATGTCGCGGTTAAAGTCAAGTCTAATGTGATGAAATAGTAAATAATAAACTCTTTTGGTGGTATTCTCATAAGTAAAGCAGGGACTAAGTCCAGACTAAACAAGAATATTAGTTCACACTTCTATGGAATGCTACATGTAGGTGTCATCTTCCTCCTTCAATATTCATGACAAAGATAATCTACCAAAGACTTTCTTGAAATTCAGTCCACACTCATATTATCTTTTTCTTCCCATTTCATTGCAAATTTAATTTTGTGGACACTTTTCATTGCAGGATTAAAATAATCTGTACAGGGTAAAAGGATTGGCAACAGGCACTCCATAAAAGTGTGGACTAACTTAGTACGTGCTAACTTAGTATCCACTACCGGAATACCATCCTTCGTGTTGTATAGCTCCCTCTCAAGGTCAAGATATTAATCTAGCTATAAAACAATGTTTCATGACTTAATCGACCGATTGGCTATTCCCATTTGGAAATTATATATCACAACTGCATTTTCTGAGATTTTCATGGTGGCAGCTACCATTTTAGGTAGTTTTTAGGGGCTAAATTTTCTAGTGCATATAAAACATCCACAGGGGCATCAAAATATATCAAAATTGTAAAGTATCATTATCCAGCCAAAATTTACCAAAACTTTGTATTACCTTTAAAGTAAAATACTTAACGACAATCATTATGACTTCATATTGTCAATCCAATTATTTATCAATTATTACGTATCACATTAAATCTGCGCAAATACAATTTTGCTCAGCTAATGAGCTTATGATGACTGCATATGAAAACCATATGTCTGCAAATCAAGACCTCAAAAGTATTTTGCTCAAAGTTCTTAAACTTAGGGTAAATTACTTAGCCAAAAGCTGCGGCTGAATACCAAAGCTAGCTAAGCATTTAACCTAATTCAGAAACTGAATGAAATACTCAGATTTCTGACATTATTGACAGTATTGAATTGAATACAGGCCCTGAAAGGTGTTCATAGCTCTATCATACTGCCAAACCAACCAATTCATCAAGGTACTTGAACTTGTACATGGGGGTGTTTCACAAAGATTTTAAGTTGAACTTATCTCTAAGTTGGACTTAATAATTATGAAAAGCCATTAGCATCTTTGAAAATATTTTGTAAAAGTTTTTTTTAAAGGCATAAAATGTTGATTTCATGTTCTTGATGCAGAATTTATGGAAAGTTTAAAATACTTCAATTTTTGCTTTTTAATATATTTTACTTTAAGGCTACAAATGGCTCTCCATAATTTTTCAAGTCCAACTTTAGAGTTAAGTTTGACTTAGGATCTTTGTGAAACACCCCCCCCCCTCCATTGGAGTATACTTTCCACACTGTCAGGGCCCTTCTATTTATTGCACTCTTGTACTTCGCACCCGCAGAGCTGTGGCTAGCTGCACTATAATCCTTCCTACCTTCCATTCCTCTCTGTCATTGCACATAATGACAAAGTTAAACAATCCCACCTCAAATGTCAGCAGGTAGACTCAATGTGTGCTCTTAAGCCAACGCCTGATTAATATGCTTCTTGCAAACTGACTCTATTAACATATTAAAGCATGGCTTGATGCATCTTGCCCTTGTAATTTTCATTATTTTCTTATACAGTGTGTATTTCGTGTATTTCTATCCCGTTAATCATCAAAGGTGGAAATTTGAAGAAAAATATTGTCTATTCCATTGCCCAAAACAAATAACAAAGATAACTAAATAATTGAATTTAAGTGCCAGTTTGGAAGAACAATCAAGTTACCGGTACATAAAATTGACTGTAACGCAATTGTACATGTAGTTTGAGATTGTTTAAACTCATTCATACAGTAATGTACTTTACAGGCCTGTTTACAATGCATAACATGGGAGATACGTATAACATGTATAATCCTTTGATGTCACACATCTGTGATACCCATTGATTGCCATACATAGCCATTTCTTTGATATCAAAGGTCATCCAAGGTCAACAATTCTGTGGCATTGAAGGCAGCATCAAATTTTCATCATTAAAACATAGTTTTAAGTATAAGATTTATAATCCAAACATTACGTCATAAGATATTTGTATTTTTGCAATTTTTTTTTTAATATTCTGAATTGTTTTCAACAGCTCAAGACCAGAGTTATTACCACGGCCACCGAGCGTTGACAGCCCTCCAGCAAGTAAGTCTCACTTGACTTAATATCTTATGTTGATAGCATATGCTGGAAGGAATTAATGCTTTTAAATAAATTATTCATAGAATATTAGCCGGATATTATAAAAGAGGAAAGAGGATGTTAAGAATATGAGCATAAAGTAGAGCTTATGAATGAAGTACCATATGAAATATTTCGACATAGCAAAATTTTAATCATACTGTTCAGGTGCATATAATAATTTGATTTTTTGTGTGTGTGCGAGTGTTATTGACTTTTCTAGAAAGTTTACCATAGCTTCATGTATATATGGCCAAGAATACATTTATGTTAAAGGTACTACCCGGTATGTCCCATTTGCAGCCAATATCAAATTCTGTAGAACTTTGCAGAAATTAGGAATATGTCACGTATGTCCTGTCTGTGAAATTTTAACGTTAGCAGTGTCCTATTATTCAAATTATGTAAGGAAACCTGTTTACTTTCTAGACTTCACTGTCAGACACTATTGAGTGACTGACTGGCTGACTTTTTTTTTCTTCTTTGGTAATAACGTACATAAAATGAGCTGTAAATCTTTGCACAGCAGAAAGCGTACAACCTTTCGGTACGAGGTTCTGAAAATCAGACTATTACTTAGGTGATTGCAATCACTAAAGTCAAATGACAACTAATGCTCGTTATTTTCTTGCTAAAAGACATTTTGAAGCCCTTTCGTTTTGAGAGAAGTTCTAAATTAGTATTATCTTTCGAATGCCTTTGGAATTTAACCATTTCATTTTTTTGGCCCGCAAATGAAACATACATGTAGTACCTTTAAGGGTAAGTGTGACAGTTGTACTTGTTAAAAAAAATATGCATGTGATTTACTCTAATAGTAAAACTTTAGTCACACTGCCATCTTGACTCTACGCCAACTCTAAATCAACCAATTATTGGCCATTCATGATAACGTGATATTTGTTTGGTATTTTGTCAGTCTGGTGTCTGTCTCATCGAAGTGACTGACATGTTATTGAAATGGTTAGCAGCTTAGCGCTTAGAGACTTCGGTGGTAAGCGCTTTATAAGTAACGTTTGTATTTATTATTTATTATTATTTATTTATTTATAAAGTGTGAAGTATAATTGATCTCGTAATAAACCAGAGATAGAGATCACTTCCTTTCTCCTTGCCCTTCTTCCAGTTCCACCAAAGAAATACTTGACATCCGACAGCAATGGGACAGCGATGGGTGCCAGTAGCAGACCAGGTTCCCAGGCCAGCTTCCATTCTAATAGTAGACCAAACAGCCAACAGGACCTGCCGACCACGCCCGGTAGCCGTTCACAGAGTCGTCACGGCAGCTCCACTGATGATGCATCCAGTAGCAAGAGTAGCAGCAGTGGTCCACCTACCCCAGCACCAAGGGGCGCCAAGACGGTGAGAGATGATTACTCTTCCCTTTCTTGGATAATAATAATAGCTAGTTCTTATATAGCGCTTTTCAGCACCGAAGGCCCTCTCAAAGCGCTTTACAGATATATAGATATATATATATATATATATATATATATATATATATATATATATTATTACCCCGGTCATAGGATTCAGGCTTACCCGCACACAATGTATGCACATTCTCTACTCCCTGGGGAGCATTCCACACGTGTGCTGTGATGACAACTCTTCTGTGGTCAATCTCTCAAAGTGACTCGTTAACATTGATGAAGGTTGATGAAAAAACTGTGTAATTTTTGTATGAAATGTTACTTATTATATATCTGATACTGTACTAACCCTCTAACACGCAAAAAATCCTGAACAAATCTCAAACCACAAAGATATTTACGGTTTTCTTTGAAGGCGTCACTGTGCGACACCCTCTGACGGTAAATTCTCCCAATCATTTTTTGAATTTTCCCAACCGTTTTCCATGAAAATAAGACATAAACCAGGCTTTTAAAAATCTTTCAACAGTTAAATGTCTGGAATGGTATATAGAGCCAATTCATTAATTTTTGACGATTTGCATTCACCTACATGTAACATGTACCGTAATTTAATTGTAATAATATAGTTGGGAGAATTAAGGAATTGATCAGATCAGTTTTTCCCAATTGTTATCATTAATAATGGTCTGTTTTCCCCCTAACTTCAGATTATCTTTAATTGTACATCTAACATTGTAGTCACTACCTTAGCACCATTATCTCTCATCTGAACAATGTTACCAAGTCCCTCTCATTCCCATACATGTACAAGCGTAGACTTTGATATAGGGGCACTGTGTCCTGTAGGCAACGGGCTAAACTTACCCTTTTCACATAGTTTTGTTCTTTCCTGTTCTAGAGACCAAAGAGAGTGAGGGCACTGTATGACTGTCAAGCCGATTATCAAGATGAGCTCACATTTGAAGAAGGAGAGACTATATTAGTGACAGGAGAGGCTGATGCAGAGTGGTGGGTGAGTAATCTGAAGAAGGAGAGACTATATTAGTGACAGGAGATTATCATCTTGATAATCGGCTTGAGGAGGAGGAGGAGGAGGAGGAGGAGGAGGAGGAGGAGGAGGAGGAGGAGGAGGAGGAGGAGGGAGGGAGGGGGAGGGGGGAGGGGGGGGAGAGAGAGAGAGAGAGAGAGAAAGAGCGAGGGGGGTTAGGTAGGAGGATAGAAAGTCATTGAAAAGGGAAAAGAAGAAAGAGAGGAAAAAAAAAGCAAGAGCAAAAGAAAGATTAAAATATACAACATAGAATAGAAATAAAGGAGAAGAAATTGTTTTATTAAGCTCAAAGAGGATAAGAAAAGAAAGTAGAAGAGGAAGTTGGGGAGATGAAGATGATTAAAGGGTGAAGGAGGATAAATGTGTTTGTCAGAATATCAATAAAACAGAAAGAGAAAAAAATGTAAATATAAAGTCTGGGAAACAAAATGAACAGATAATCATTGACAATGTCATTTACTTTTCTCAATTTAACCACTCTTTTCTTTTCCATTTCCAGATTGGAGAGATAGAAGGCAAACCGTCACGGAGAGGGGTGTTTCCTGTGTGCTTTGTACATGTCATCGACTGACCCATGCTTGCCACTTCCAGTCCCGTGCACTCCAATCTGTGTAGTCTTCTTCCCTCGCACTTGGTCCCACCCACTCCATTTGATGTCAGTAGCATTTAATGTTTGTACATGAAGAGAATACTCTGGTACCTGAACAGAGACAGACTATGTTAACATATTTTCAATTTGACTGAAAGTAATTTTGAGATTGTAACCTGGTCACAGCATAACTCTCAAATTTTGTATTTTTCCTAGAAATAAAGACAATAGTGGAGTATAGTCATGAATGAGTGCTAGAAACGTACATGTCTATAATTTGAATCAGTAATATTTTGTATAGATATATTTTTGGATTAGAAAGTATCTATCCATCATGAGAAGATGAACATCTTTAGAGAAGCATTTTTCAAAATCAGGAATTCTGTTCCAACCAAATCTTTCACCAGTACCAACAATTTGACATTTGTTTCTATATTTTTCTTATTGCGATCATGTAGTATCTTATTTCATTTCCATGGGCTATTAGTCCCATGTGTCCATAATCATGTTTGGACTTGATCTGAGCTTGATGAAATTCATTGAGTCGGATCGTCAAACTTGCCCCAGACGTGACGGTTGTTATTTGGATAAATTAGACATAAAGTATGATAAGTGGGGCTCATTTCTTCATTTAAGATTCCTCTTATATAAGAACAATGGAACCTCATAAAGAGCACTGATGTAACAAGGTTTCTGTTATAACAAGGGGATTTTGCTGGTCCCAGCTCTTTATATCTTTTATAAAAACTCTGATACAACAGGATTCCTAATATTAAAAGGTGATTTCCATGGTTCCCTAAACCTCGTTATAACCAGGTTCTACTGTACTTGTTAATATAAAAGTGGAATGTGTGTATTTAATACATGTGCATTCGAGTGTTTCGATACAGGTGCTGTCATTTGTCAACTAAGTCCCGGTATGAATCTACCTAAGATTATCATTTATTTCTCTAGTAAATAAACTTTACAACTGATTTCTAAACCAAAGGCTCATTCACAGATGACCCGGTAAACCTCAGCATTTTTTTTTGTTTTTGTGGAATATTGGCAAGTGGGGATAAAGAATAGTAGCTTCATGCAACACCGGTCTAGAGTTAGAGTTTAGAGTTTAAAAATGCCCTTTTTGATCTAGGCAGGTGTTATATCACTTGCATATACAGGTAGGGTCACATTGATAACTTCTGAGCAGTAGTCCATACTTTGATTTAAAAAAAAAAAATATATATACATATATATATAAGCAAGTTTAGTGAAACTGCAATTTCTGACAGTGCTCAACTGTAGGAGCAAATGTAGATATAGGAGTTGGAAGGTTACACTTTATTGGTACGAGTTATACAGACTGTTTCGCCAGAAGGCTCATCAGTAACTAAATACATAATACAATCATGGCGAAGTTAAAAACACTCATGTGCAGTCAGGCAAGAATACAAAAGAGACACAAATAATACCCAAGTAAGGGCGAACGCAATAATACAATAGTGGAATTAAGGGGTAGAATCCAACCACCCGCCAACCGTCACCAAGAAGATTCCGCACTCCATACAAACCCGCCTATCCACGATCTCCAGCAGCGCAGAGGTATTCAACGAGGCGAAACCGGAGTATGAAAAAGCACTCCGTGATGCCGGCCACAACACCAACTTAACCTACACACCCAAGACCAGTGACATCAACAACAAAGAGCACCACAAACGAAAACGCAACATAACCTGGTTCAACCCCCCATATAGCAAGCACGCGAAGACGAATATTGGCAGAAGGTTCCTCGCTCTCGTAGACCAGCACTTCCCAAAGGAACACCAACTACACAAAATCTGCAATAGGAACACACTGAAGATCAGCTACAGCTGCATGGATAACATAGCAACCATAACCAAGGCCCACAACAATAGAATCATCAACCACAACCCCAACCGAGACCCAGAAACCTGCAACTGCAGAAAGAAAGACGACTGCCCCCTCCCAGGAAAATGCACAACCAAAAATATCGTCTATGAAGCCAAGGTTGTGACCCCCAACGATGAGAAACTCTACATTGGACTCACATCCACATCCTTCAAAGCCAGATATGCAACTCATAAAGCAAGCTTCACCCACCAAGAAAAGAGATACCAGACCGAGCTAAGTAAACACACCTGGATGCTGAAAGACGACGGGATACCCTACACAATATCATGGAGAATCATCCGGCACGCCCAACCATACTCACCCAGAACAAATCGCTGCAATCTCTGCCTATGGGAAAAGTACCACATCATCACTGCTGAGAAATCCACCATCCTTAACTCTAGAACTGAACTCATTTCCACATGTAAACATAAGAGAAAGTTTCTACTCTCTGAATATGGTTAAACCCCTCCCCCCCCCTGTACCACCATGACCTTTCCCCTTACCCTTAAACCCCTTAATTCCACTATTGTATTATTGCGTTCGCCCTTACTTGGGTATTATTTGTGTCTCTTTTGTATTCTTGCCTGACTGCACATGAGTGTTTTTAACTTCGCCATGATTGTATTATGTATTTAGTTACTGATGAGCCTTCTGGCGAAACAGTCTGTATAACTCGTACCAATAAAGTGTAACCTTCCAACTCCTATATCTACATATATATATATATATAAAATGAAGAATATGGTGCAGCATCTTTTTATCTAGTAACAGTTTTGATATGGTTATTAATACAGAAAACTTCCTATTCAGTCAGAAGTGTCCATATTTTAGGGGTTTATTGACAGGTGTTCATGTACAAGGATACCTGATATACTGGACCCTGTTTCACAAGACTTGATATCAATATCAAGTGTCACATTTCTAAAACAAATTTGCTCTCCGCCAATCAAATGCAGCAATTTCAGTAGCTTATAACAGCTATTGCAACTTGTTATTGATAACAAGTTCTATGAAACAGGGCCCTGGTATTTGGTGCAGTCTGTTTTTCAATGCTTTCATCATAGAGGGGAGAGACCAGATAAAGCTTTAAGTACTATCATTCCACAGAATGTCTTTTGACATAATATACTCGTTCAACATTCTTCCATACTGTATCATTTGAGATTCACAAAGATTTAAATTTGCAATGTATCTTTCATTGAGAGTGAGAAGGGCATTAGCTGTGTGTATAATAATAATAATAATAATAATAATAGTGGGTTCTTGTATAGCGCTCATGTCTATAAGAATACAAGTAAAGCCCTATTGTCTTTTGGCAGATGTGCATGTAGTAGATGTATGTTTGAAAGATACATGTAATACATGTACCGTAAATCTCCGTGTATAAGGCGCACTTTTTTGCCGCCGAAAAAATTTGAAAGTCAGGGGTTGGTCTTATACACAGGTACAGAAAAAAAAAGTTTTTTTTTTTTTTTTTTTTTTTTTAGTTTTGATTTATGGCGCTATGCCTGGCAATGTCTCCTAGCTCAGTAATCAGTGTGGTGACTCACCACTCGGAAACTACAACAACACTCAAGTTTGTCTGTCATCTTGGTTTGAAAGTAATCTTTCTAATAGATCTCAATATGTAGTTTATAATAAAAATTCCTCAATTTTTTTTCTATAACAAATGGTGTACCACAAGGTTCTATCCTAGGTACTCCATTGTCAGAAATTTAGAGGATGCTATTCATATCATGCATGACTATTGATATTTGGCATAGAACACAGTGCTTCTGCTAGGTGATGTGAGGAGGCTGGTGTGGGACACTTGGTATCATGAAGCCTTAGACTGTTGTTACTATTATTTTTGACAAGTTCACACCTTCAACTGCACCTCGATGTAAAATGAAGGTCCTTCCTCGCGTGGGTTTTCGGCAACAAAACAACAACAACAACAAACATTTTTTTTTGTTTTGTTTGCCCCCAAAATAGGGGTGCGCTTATACATGGAGATTTACGGTATATTATTTGTTCAGAGCTAAAGGGAGAAAAGGATACGAGTTAACTTTTTCGCGACAATCATTCCACTTTTTTGTGGTTTGATTATAAAACATCTTTTGATTCAGAGCCATACAAATTATCCCAGATGCATGCGTAGAAAGAGCTAAAACTAATGCACACACTGTATCCATGTTTATTTCATGACTACATTGCGTTTCATGCCAGGAATTGTACAAAGCAAAATAAAATCTTTAATCCTTAAATTGGCAACTTGTTGAGAGGTTCAAAATCATTGCTTTTCAATACAACTTTGCATTTTTCCCCAACCTTTTGACATTATTCTCACCCACTTACTTGGTTTTAGATTTTATTTCAACAATGTAGCAATAAAAGAAAAAAAAATATTATTGTTGCCAATTTGAAGAACATTATGTGATCAATTAAGTCCTAAAAATGATTCCTGACCTGAGAGGGTTAAGGGCCTTCTGGCTGTCAGGATACGATATCATGCATATAGAAGGTGTAAGTTGAAAGATAAATGTAATAATGTTGCATGGGGTCACATATTAGTGGAGAGTAATCTCAAGTTCTTTCCAATGTCCATTATTGCTGAGTATAAAGCTATAGAATAATTTGAATGAAAGATGAACCTTGTTCAGAGACAGGTCAAAATATATATAACAAGACGTGCATGCTTCATCATTTATATACATGTATAACTGATCGTAACTCACTATAACCCCTGAGCTGAATAGCTCAACATTTTGGAGGTTAAGATTTTGTACTGAGATTAAAAGTGTAACTTTGATCTTAATCATCTTATTAAACACGATTTGTAGAACAAACCTAAAGATTTGCAGTCTTGCAAATATGTTGAATGGGAAGCATTTGTACTATGTATATACTTCTGAGCCTTGTCGCATAAAACTTAATGGTAATGATCGTAACTTTGTCATTAATGGTAACTTCCATGGAAACCTTAATTTGATTGGCTGTTGAGTGATGTTGCCACGAAAGTTAATACTGATGGCAAAGTTACCATCAGTGGTAAGTTTTATGCAACAGTGCCCAGAAGTAAATTAATAGTGTAGCTACTTTCTAATATATTTGTCCAGGGTCTTTCATCATTGGGAGGATGGGGAATTTTACACCCAAACCTATTCAAATATTTCTTTAGGCATGCAAGTAATTTTTATAAGCAATTCAATAATGTTTCTTTTAAAAAAGCCCTCATGTCTGCAAATTCGATATTTGAAGACTCTTTCCTTTGCTCGTAATAGAATTATAATAAGATTACATTGTATTACCTGTTGGCCAGTTTGGACCCATGCTTCATCATTCATAATGATCTAGTCCCATAAGACGGCGAGTATTTAGAATGAAATAGATCTTTAAGTAAAATTACATTGGAATTTCCCATCTTTAAGAACCTCTATGCAAACCTTATAAGGTTGAAATTATCAAGGTTATAACTACGGGGGTGGGTCGTTCGGAGGAGTCTTTCTTTTGTGTGGTAGTATAATGTATTATCTTTTCTTTTTAGTTGTTGAAAGAAATCCCCAAATTCTAAATAATTTATACAGAATGATGTAAGGAAACCAATGTGTGCTTTATTATGTTCTTCAATAAGTATTTTTCAGACCTTTGTCATATCAAAAAAGGATGAAAGACAGGATCATTTATTTTCTTTGCTGCTAGGTCGGGAGGAAGTGTAGGAAGTAAACTCATAGAAATGCTGTTGGTGTTTAGGTATCATTTTGCCCAAACCATTTTAGACCTGTTTTGCTTAAAGGGATTGGGTAACTTTGTCTCAAATTCTGAAACAAAATCCTGGATTTAGCTCATCCTGCAATGATACTTATAAATTTTTAGGTCAGTCAGGAACCCCATGACTTTTACAAGCCGATTGCCTGTCTGATTATCAAAATATTTATGATTGGAAATCAAAATCAAATTTTGCGTTTTCCTAACAGGTTTTCATAACACTACAGCCTACCGGTATTGGGGAAAACGAGTACGGTTTGGTACAACCGGTCACTCACAGATTTTTCCTTTTTTGAGGCACTTCTTGATCATTTTGAAGCGCAATTTTTTTAGGGCTTCAATATTACCGGTACACCATATCAGAGACACTAATAACACGAAGGGCCGTGCATCTCAGATTTTACATTGTTTAACGATGCCTTTAAAATCATAAGTAGAACCTTTAAGCTTGGATGCGAATTAGGAACAAGTGGCTGAAGAATGAACTTTCAACTGTAGGATCTGTTATGAATGCCACTTTGATTGTCTGACCAGAAACTACATCATTTTCCCAGTTAAGCTGGTTAATTGATACTGCAC